ATAACCCTTTACTTCAGATCGTCGCGGGTTCGATTCCTCGTTGGGTGCAAACATTTGTATTCATGAGTATGATTACCCATAACACAAGCTCTGCTTGTCGTGTGTCTACATCGCGCTGTGTTAATTTAGTTAAAGGTTATTTATTCATTCATCTGCAGAATTTACTATAATTGTCATTTTGGAAGAAAGTATATTACAGCATTCTTTATGAATTCTTGTTTTTCTGCGTCGATTCAATTTATGTATGCAACTAGAATAGCAAACAAGCTGACGTCCCACCTGATCATAAGTAATAACCGTCGCCTATATAGGAATATGCGGTTTAATAGTGACACGTAGATCACGTGATCATGTGACACTCATGCGTTACCATTATAATACTATTCCTGTCTTAGCATACCTCTAGTCTTAAATGAATGCTCCTTCTAATAAACACTCTCCAGACTTTTGTTGTACGACAATTGGCAAGTGTACATTATCTTTGAGAGCGTCATGGCCTACTGGTTTACTACCCTGAATTACGCCTGAAAAATCGTGAGGTCAAATCTGGCTGATGAAAAAAATAACTTTGTGTGTCAATTTATATTTCTTATTGACTCTCCGGTGAAGAAAGTATTGATATCAAACCAAAAATTGAGGTGCGGCAGTATCACTCCCTGTCACATTTGATTCAAATATATAGTACTAAATATGTCAAGTGTTGCGTTCACCACAACATTGACAATACCTCTGACATTACTAAAACATGCCATAACGGGGCACCAGTGGAGGACGATAAAATGAGCATGAACTCAGTTTACTTAGCCCATCTTGGCAATTGGCAATTTACCGCGCGAAATACAGGGCTTGTTAGCACGGATACTGCTTAGAACAATGACTAAATCACTACTTATTGTCCTTAGGGGAGTTGCTTAACAACTGGCAGTCAAGTAATTATTCAATGCAAATTAGATGAGCCCAAACTAACCGAGATTGTATTGTTTTATTAAAGAATCTCTATGAAGACTTTCCTGCTTTACAATCAGAGCATCTCATTATAAAATTACAATAATATTAGATTGTCCTTAATCTATGGCAAGAACAATACCAAACGATTTATGTAAGAGCTATGATGTAAGCAATATTTCAACACAATTAACTGTCACCGTTAAATTAAAAAAAAAGAATTTATTATGTTAGGAACGAACGTATCGTTCCTAACATAATAAATTCCATTTATTACTTAATTACTTAATAACTAAACATCACTAAATCGAATACAATTTACAAATGTACAATCAAAATTTACAATTGTACAAAATAAACATGGCACTTGAAAATAAAAAAAAAAAAAATTCTAAACAGAATAAATTAAAATTCAGTCTAATTCAAAATATCTTTAATCACGAAGATCTATTACAGACTCTTATGATATGTTAAATCTATGGTCAGTTTGGAATGATTTCGAGATTAGAAGAACTGTCGACAAAAGAAAAAACAACAGATAATAAAAATAAAAAAAAAAACAATATTAATTTATATGTGACATAATATTGCTACTATATAAAATACGGAACCCTATAAAACATGTTTCTAATTACAAGACATAAATAATTTCCTGCCCTCAATTTAAATATGTGACACACGTCTGTAGTATTCAGAGAAACGAGTTATTTATTAATTTATTGTACTAAAACTTGTGTGGATTTAACAGCTATTCGCTTCAGAATTCTAGTATAAATTAGACGAGTAAATGATTTTAATTAATTATAATATCTACCTGGTATTTCCTTAAACAAATAGTTATATTATACTCACCGCTACCACCACTACTATATTTTTTTATTCAATGGATTCTTAAAAAATTGTGGTAAGTATATAGAATACATAAATAGTAGGTATATAAGTAGTGCAAAAGTGGTATCGCACATGAACATATACCTGAATAGCACCACGTACATCACGCGATAACATGCCCGTGGATAACACTCATGCGTTGAATTTAAGAGGACTAATATATTATATCTCCATATCCTCTTCTATCCTATCCTCATATCTTTCTTCAACCAAAACATAGTTTCTAAAGCAAGTTGTTTGACGACCTGTGTTTTATGATATCCTTACTAATATTATAAATGTAAAAGTTACTCTGTCTGCCTGTCTCGCTTACACGTCAAAACTACTGCATCGATTTAAATGAAATTTGTTAAACAGATAGTGAAGACCTTCAGAAAGGACATAGGTTACCTTTTAATGTGAACAAGAGTTGTAAGGAGGTGGAAAGGGGAGATGAAAAGTTGTATGGAAGTATCGCCATTATCAAAACTAGTAGCTTGAAGCTTAGATATTTTAAACTACGCAACGCATTTTAGCAACAGATAGAGTGCGAACAGAGGCGGGTAACTAGTAACATATAAAATTTATTTCATGTAATTTAGTTTGCGGAAGACTTAATTGACTCTTGAAGGTCATATTTTATTATTTATTTCATACTTTTATTATAGTGGAACAATAAATTAAATAGGGTACAACATCAATCAGAAGAGTGGTTTTCCAATACCACTATAAAAGAGGAAAAATAGATTACCTTTTAAAACAACATGCCTCATAAATAAATAGATACATTTACTGATTATACTGCGAGTACACATACATTAGAAACGTTTACTATGTAAACATGATCTACAAACTTATAATATGTATATTAGGTTGATGACTATATATGAGTCATTTTAGTTATATTTTGTAGTTTGTCCTTATTGTTTACTTTATGATGTTGAGATTTAGTAACAAACAGCGAATATTTAGATTTCCAAACTTCTACGCAAGCAGTCACTTTAACATTTTTCTTTTCTTATAATCTGTGGGTAACGGCTGGGCTTTACAGCTTTATACAAAAAGTATACATTATATCCTGAGGAAATAAATTCATCTCTCCTAAGAATCTCCTTCAATTTTTGTCCCTCATGGGGGCCCTCACAGCACAATAAAGGGGCGAGCACAATAGATCTATACAGATCACAGCGTTACAGGTTTTAACACCTACGAATAGCCCAAATACCCAATAAAAAAATATAGCTTCATCGGACGAAAACTGGGGCGAGTGTACCTTAAACCAGTGGAAATGAGATTTAAAAAATAAGATTGTCTATTTACATAATTTAATTATTTGTATTATTGTCTGATTTTCGCCATGACTACAACGCTTTCCATTTCTACTTAAAGGTTACCTGGTAGAGAATGCCATATGTAAAACTTTGTACACTTTTTATTGTGCAATAAAGAATAAGTAATAAAAAAAATAGTAGTACCACAGAATATAATAGAATATAATATTTTCTATTCGTAGTAGTACCGTACAGTCCCTTATATGCCTTCTATTAATCAATCATCCCTTACATTGTTGGTAATAACACGCAAACACGAGTTTATTAAATATATACTTATATATAATTTTATTCTTCGGCAATTTGTTAATACATTGTCTACTTCCTATCATATTAAAACCATTTCCATTAAAAAAATATCACCAATTTAGCATGAAAGACGAAAAATTAGACACTTGGAATGAGAACCTTTTTTTGAAGGTGGTTGAAAAATAGGTGGGTACATACTACCTGATTAAACTAAATAACAAGTAATCAAATATCTTGCCTATTTCATATTCACAAATGCGGTCGAATCGTGACTAGACAACGTAAACATTAATATTATAACCTACTTGTGTTGGTCGATTTGATAAAGATAAGGATTGATAGACTCTCGGCTGAGATACGAGTAACGGTTCTCTGTTCCTAATTACTGAATGAGTGACAGCCAAATGGAGATCAGGTTAAAAATGAAGTCTTGCACTTTTGTTTATTTAGAATGCATAAATAATTAAATACAGAACAATTTTTATCAAAAACGGACCACAATTTGAATATAATTAATATGAGACTATTAGTCTCATATTAATTAGGGTTTACTAGTGATGAAGCAATGGGAATAATTAAAATCAATGCTGAATCAAACACAAGAAAAATACGGTAGAATTTAAACCATAGAAGAAGCTCATAGTAAATATATAACAGGTTTATTAATGCGTAGCATGCAGTCTATATATAGATTGTCAAAGTTAACATAATCGCTATTTAGACACCTATTAATAGGTTTGTAATAGAAATTCATGACCTTAAGTAAATAATGTCAGTCTTCAGTCCTTTACTTAACACAAAACCGATTTTAGTATCTCTACATACCCGTAAGTTGTATTAAAATCGTATTTAGTACTAAATTACAATGGATTTATAGTATTTAAATATATACATATATATTCATATCAAAATACTATTACTCATATCATAACTTAATTTTTTAGGCTTAAGTTCTATAACAGATAAATACACAAGGCAGAAATGTTTGTCGACTCAGTGTCCTATTGAAGGTGATTTAAAATCATGTTCTAAAGTAAATTTTTACTGTCCTTATTTTAATGTAAAGTAGTTATATGATAATATATAGTATATGTTTGTCTGGGTGTTTTTCTATGTGTGCACTTACAAAAATTTGTTGTTTAGTACCGAATAAAAGCTCTGCTTAGTTTGAGAGTTGTACCTAGTAGAAGTACGTAGTTTACTGCCTAAATTTAATCAGAATGGTCATGAGTTCAAATCTCGCCAAATCCATAAAAATAATTGTCCAAAAAATTAAGAAATTATGGCAGTCGGCTCCGTTTTGTTGGATTCAAAGACACGAATGTGGATATGTCAATTGTCGCGTTCACAACAAAGGCGACAACTGACAAGAGGTCTACTACTCTGTCTTGGATAACAGTCATGATACCTTTACAACATTTATTATTACAATGTATCAGGTTAATATTACAGCGTCCTAAATCCGCCCCTTTATGTTCAATATCGCCACCTTGTTAACGTTCCATAATTCGATAAACGCGCAATCATGAGGGCGTGCAGTAAATTCCAGTTATGCGATTAAGAGGCAGGGTCCCTATTTTTAGCTGGACAAGTGAATTTATCTTTTTTCTCTCCGAGCCCGGGGATGGGTGCTGGTTTCTCGGGATCGCCTTAACTCTTATGTGGTTTATTCAGGTTGTGCTTTTTTTAATCGCTTAAATGTGTGTGTTGTGGAGTTCAATTGCATTACACTGATACTTCACGTCTGATTTAATCCGCAGTTAGTTTCATATCAGAAAATTACATAAAGACTAATCACTGGTTTATACGTTATTAATGTTATAAATTAAAATTATTATACTAATCTATACATTTGACAGTATTAAATTTTATACATAGAATATTTTTAATATGTATTATGATTCCCACATACAATATAATACAACCTATTTACCTACACGCCACATCTCTTACAGGATCTGTACAGTACTCTATAATACTGTCTACCTTTGCACATATGTATAATCCATAAAAAAATATATACATATACAGTGCAGCATATCTTTTATTCTTTAATTACTTACATATAGGTAGGTAACTATTTGAAACTTGGTGTGTAGAACTTTCTTTCTTTGTTCCAACCAATAAATCTTTGCCACCCCATTTGTAGTAATTATTTTGAATAATCGCCACTTAAGTATCTACTTGTATTAATTAATGCCTAACATTGTACTTCAAGTAATATAATATGGAGGTCGTATTATTAGATTTCTCAGAACTTGTTCAATAAAATCTCCACCCATTTTAGACCAACATGCCTTTGTGAATTGTTAGTGAAAACAATAGTTTAAAGTAATAATAATCGCACTGGATTAATAAATTTATTAGTCAATAAGATAAATGTTTACATAATGCAAAATAGTTGTTATTTTTTCTACTGAAAATGGCTAACAAGCTGTGAACCCGCCTACGAGAAACGGGTGATCATAATGGACAAAAGTATTACGTTATCGATATTATTAAAATAAGTACAATAGGCTGCTCTAGTTTAGCGGCTTATGTCTAAATTCCTTTCTGACCGAGTTTGTATAAAATGTAGGTATAATTTTTTTTATCTAACATGTGCAATTCAATGAAAGTTTCCTGACAGATTCTTTCAGCATAAGTCTTTGTACTGAAACGAAAGTACACTAACTCAGCAAGAAAGACGCCATGATGGTACTGAATACGTATACTAAAATGCTAACATTGATTTTGGAAGGCTTTGTTGATATAAACTGTGTTTTCATTGCAGTATCCAGCACCGGCAGTCGTTAAGCGAGAAGACAATGAATCTAATCCAGAAAAGAAGTCAATAGATATTACAAATGGTGAATCAATCAAAATGTAAGACGTCATGTAATTTTAAAGATAATTTGACTAGGAGACATACTAGTAGTATCCGTAATACCGTATACCCTATTTTGGCGTAAACGTAATTTGGTTTTGATCTCTGTATTAAATATAGTAGATAGTTCCGAAAATGTAATGAAAATGACATTTCAGTATTGACAAGGAAACCACTCCAGAATATCGACCTCCAGGCACGCTCCCAAATAGTGCAAACATGTTAACAAATGCATCACGTGGTTTACTATTGCGCCTGCTAGAACGGGATCCCCGAGTTCGCATGAGAAATCTAAGACAATTACAACAAAGCGCTTTTTACATGGGATTCAATTTTGAACATGTCAAAGCTAGAAAGGTATGACAGTAACCTATTAAATTTAAATTTGTAGTATGTATTGCTAATCTCTACTTACTATTTAGACTTTACTCTATATAGACTATGTAAAGTTCCGTGTGTCATATCGTTGAATAGCAGAGAGGATGGACTTACTGCCTCCAGATTTGTAGTCTATTTTGTCTTGATAAAAATCTTTTAAATTTAATTATAACCAGAAATTGTAACAGTTATTTGATACAAACAAAGATGAAGATAACGTTTGAAAGATGAATTATTGCCATGAAATTACATGGTACGGAGGCATTACATCTTAGCCATCCGACACTTTCCATCCAGTGGACAGTCTCTTTGTTTGCTTTTCGAGTTATCTAAAAAAATATTGATATGATTTTGTTTGGAAGAAAATAAATACTGATATAAAAATAAATAAATAAAATAAAACCTTTATAAACTTCCAACTTACATTAAATTGGAATTAGCTTAGGAATTTCCCGTTAGTCGAAGCCTTATCCCATAGTACCTATTCTGAATTAATAGGTCAACGCGTCCGTTCATATTCAATGAATTAAATACTGCAGAGTGAGTATATATTTATTCTGATTATGATATGTTTTTTTTCAGATGTCACCTAAAATTATGTTTGAGCACTACTTTCCCGATGGACTCCCTGAAACATCAGTACAAGATCTCAAAGAGCTTAATGCTTTGTTTGATCAAGCTAAAATACAATAGTTGATAGTTCTAAATAAATGTGATCATACAATAATACATGTATTGTTATACATATAGGTGCCATAGTAATAGTAAATGAAGTGAAATGTTTAATCTTGTTTTACAACTCCGGTATTTGACCGCCATCTGTTGTATTTACTGCATAATTCATTCCATATTACAACATTCCAATACAGGCAGTAAAGGCTATTAAAATGAATCTCAAGAAATTATTAGTCAAAACTATATCGTCAACGTAGGATTTTATTTTTGTAACTAATAAATTTACGTTCTTTTATAATTACCTGGTTTTATTGTGTATCTATTACATTATCAAGTGTAACACATAATACGAGTAATTTATTGAAATCATATTATTTGCCTAATATACTATACTATTGTACGTCACTTGTTATCTAAAAGACAAATTTTCCAATGTGTACCTCTATATATTTCTTGAATCTAACTACAATAATATATTGTCAACAATATATTGTCTTTACTGTACTGCCCAATATTCCTGACATAGGTACATATACTATCATGTACCTATGTCAGGAATATTGGGCAGTTTAATACATTAACTTGTTATCACAAAGTACATAGAGATGCTAAGCATTATATTACTAAATACCATAACAATATTCCTACCAAACGAGAATGATTCAACAAAAACAAATCTGAATATTGTGAGTTTTTTATTTCAAAATATATTAAAAGTGAACATATTTAAGTGAGCAAGTAGTCACTACGTCTGTGTATGGCAACACATCTTGTCAAAACTAGCTCCAGATTTATTTTCATAGAGAAATAACTTTGACTTAAGAGGTTATTGACAGCTGTAGAAACTAAAATTTATCATTCGATTGCAGCCTACTGTTTTCAATTTATCGTATTTTGTATATTTTACAAAATATAAAAATGACCTCCATTGTACAACGGGCTGCCTTCGCCTACCTCAAGAATAATGCTCGTTTATCCCACTCGGCAACTGCTGGAGGACATGGCGGTATGAGACTAGAAAACCATTAAAATTTCAATTATGTAATCATCTAACCTCATAAGCCTTATCACAGCTTATTGATTCGCCACTTTTATAAATAGGCGCCTGTATAGTTTAGTCAAGAATTATAACTCTCTTCAATTGCAATTTACTGTCATCCTGTTTAAATAATAGTATTTTAAATTTGTATAGATTGGTTCAATCGATAAATATTATATGTAGATAATTTATTATAATTATATATATTCCATTATAATTTTTTATTACAGGTGGATGGCAGCTGTGGAAAAGGCTATCTCTCTTTGTAGCATTCCCAGCAGTGGGTCTTGGTATGGTTAATGCATACCTGGGGCATCAGGAAGGACATCATGAACAACCACCATTTGTTGCCTATGAACATTTGCGTGTTCGTACAAAGGTACTACAATACAATAATAATAATGATAACCCTTCTCAATTTAAAAAGAGCCATCTAGTACTAAGCTCAACAGAGCTTGTGTTATGGGTACTACAGTTTTCTAGTACCGATAACAAAAGCTCTGATTATGTATATGAATACTTAATTATTATTTTAAAAACATAAAACATAATATAATAAACACCCAGATCGATACAAACAATCATATTCATGAGTACAAAATGTTTGCACCATACAAGAAATTGAACTCCCAACTGTTGGAAGTATGGAGGTGTGCTGAACTGCTAAACCACAGTGGCAGTCAACCTAAACTTAGTTAAACTAATTTCATAGTAGTATTTTTGTTATGAACTGGAATGGTAAATAAGCTGACAACCTATCTAACAGTGGTAATATAGTATGCCCATCTGGAGCCCTTCATGCCAATCGGGAGAACCAATATACCATTCTTTGCCTGTATGAACCATTCACTGCCACAATGGCAGTGAATGGTTCATACAAACAACAACATATGCTGCTGAAATAGGCGAGACAGAGGTGCCTATACAGATATCTTCGTACAAAGTCTACTTCTAGTTATATTTATTAATTATCAATATAATTAAATGTGATATTAATTCTCTATACATCTTGTATGATAATTATTAACAAACGGATATTCATATTCATATCCATAATGTTATTCAGTATATATGCTAATATTAATAGTTATTTATTGCCAGTCATTGTTTTACTCTTCTATACATTCCATGCAAATTTTATCTTACTGAAATCCAGAAAATGGCAGTATATCAAAGCACTATGAATATTGAAGAAAAATTTGAATATTGTTTTTTTTTATTTCAGCGTTTCCCATGGGGTGAGGGCCAAAAATCTTTCTTCCACAACCCACATGTCAACGCTCTTCCCAGCGGTTATGAACATTAATTATAATTATTAGACATTCATCTACCATCTGTTTTATTTATAATTTGTCTATGGTTCTATTAGCGAATACACGCGCAAGCGCGCCACTAGACTACAAATGTATTGTGATAAGTAATTAAAACATTAAAAATTACACTGTTAGATTTTATTAAACCTTTTTTTACTTTTATATTGTAATATAAATGTTAAAATACCTGTTACCCATATAATCTAAAATGTATGCCAATTTGTTGAGATCTATAACAAAATAAGTATTTCAGCATGTAATACATGCAAATAGACCTATAAAACATAAATATACTTCTTCATCTATACATTATATATATATTTTTACTTCTACTGTTCACCATCAACAGATAATGTATTCCTATATTCTGGAACCCAAGTGATCTTGGACAGTGCGATTTCAGAGCTTCCTCCCGCGTACGTTAAAGACTACAGCATAGAGTTTTTATAGAAGGGTATATTAAGGTTTAATCGTTTATTATCATATAGCATTATACCCTATGCTTGTTTGCCATGCATTAATAGAAAAATATTAATATTACATAGGCATAACGAAAACGTGACGAGAAGAAAATTGTCTCTGTGTTAACTGTTTTTTTCTTAATGGATGATAATGGAATTGTGCATTCGCCTGCGGTAAAGGAGTACGCTGGCGGAGCACTAACGGAGGATGATAAGATGAATATGGTCAAGTCAATTAGCCCATTGTGACAAATTCACCAGGAATTTATCACGGTTTCTAGAGACAACTGCGTGGAGGTCAACCAGCATGGTAGGTGCATTGCTAATAATGAATCCACATTACTAACAATCCCCGTTACCCGTTTGTAAACTGTTAAAGTTTTACGTAAAAATAGCAAGAGGAATTAGAATGAAATTTTCATATGTTGTTAAATGAGGGTTACCATATAGGCTAAAGGAAACTTACATAAATGCGAGTTATTTTTTTTTATTATTATTATTTGATACTTTCAGATTGATGTTTTTCTAATTAAGCTGATACTTACAGTCTATAAACTTTTTTGTTTTTGCGAAGACAAATTCGATATTACCTATTTTGCTAGCTTTTTGCTATTAATAAATAGCGTTGTGGTGCTATCGTAAAATTAACACGTATTATCGATAATTATTGGTCACTCAGAAACATTTTGTCTTACGCACAATCTTCCTTATTTATTTAAAAGTCATTAACATAAAATTATAAAATATTGTTGCATCAAAATTATTTTTTAGTTGTAATAATAAAAAAACTTTATTAAAATTAGAAAACTGTCCCCAATTATGGGAGAATTTCTTAGGTTAGAATAAGTTCATTATAATTATAAATGCTATTTTCTCTTTCAATTTAAATGAGTTGTAGATATAATTTCATGATCATGATCAATTGTATTAGGACTTATGAATTTTAACGGAATAAGAATTTTGCAAAAAACCGGCTTAAACCGTTTTAAGCACTTCCGTTTTTTTGGACTGGATTATCAATCACTATTTCTGTAATGTCAAAATTGTCAAACGAACTTGTATAGTTTCAATTATTTAAAAAATTTAATTTTTCATATACATTTATATCATCTATAAATATTGATTTAATGGATTTTTATTAACAGTTCAATTACTTATATTCTCGATTAAAATTTCTAATGCAAAATTACTCGCAGTGTAATCCTCTAGAACAAAATGTCAACTTCTGTGAAAGAATTCAGCACTGCCTGGTGGTCGGAAGTATATAATCGTATTATTGGTGCTGTTGTCTACCTGGACGATGCTAGTGCCGAGTGTTTACACTGGGATGGTGGGTTATTCAATCTGCTTACTGGAGGAGCAGTTTCGGTTAAGAGTTTATCGCCATTTGAGGTAACAATATGTTTTGTGATATCAACTGTAGCTTTACAATTTATACAGTTCATCAGCCAATATACTCGTCCAAAGCATCTGTGTGCATTATGTATGGAAGTAGTAGATGGGTAATAAGCTTCTGGTGTACATATCAATCTAAATTGAAATATATATTACTTTTTTTCTGTATGGTTGTCTGTATAGTCAGATTGACACATGCACAGCCAGATGTAAAGATCATAAAACTGCAGTAAAAGTATGAACTTTAAATCTTATTGAATTATTATATAAACCTAATCATTATATTTTATTAAATACAAATTGCTCTTTTATTAAAATTTAGTTAATTAGATCTTCTATTAAATGCCTGTAGATTAATAAATACTAAGCATAAAATAAATACTATAATAAGATTATTATCTAAAACATAACATTTTACAGTTTTCAAAAAAGGAACACAGGAAAGTTGTCTTCATAACTCAAACAACATCCACTCAATTACGTACAATAGCAGAGATTATCCATAACAGTGATTTTACACATTGCATACTGATATCATGTGCCAGCTTGGATACAGTTTACATGGAGCTCAATGAGGGGAAGGATGTAGGGGATGTTATAGCTGCAGGGAAGGGTACAATAGAGGCTACTAAAATTTTGGAGACTTTATTACTTGATGCTATTGGTAAATCGGTAAGAATACAATTTAAGTATATATTAATGTACATAATTGTGTTATTATAGAAAAAGCCAAAGTTATACATATAAATTAATGTTATATTTGAATATAGCCAATTATTTTAATACAGTGCCTAGTTTCAATTTCTATAGCATTTATTATTAAAAAAAATTGACAATAAGATAATGCAATTTACTTTGTCTTACTTATAAATACTGTCCTAATAGTAGACAGTTACATATTGTTCTACTATCTTTTATATATATAATAATAATATTTTGTATTACTTCATACAATTCCATTTTATAAAAGGTATCAAACCATAAAGTTATAAGCATTGTTTTCATATCAATTAGTCAAAACTTATTTCTAATAAAATAAGATTGAAGTTGCAAGGAGATTGAACTTAATTTATTTTTATTTTACTTCATAAAAATACATTTTATAAAAGGTATAGAACCATAAAGCTTGCATTTTTTGCGTGTGAAATAGTCAAATCTTTTTTAAAATGAAATCATATTACATCTTATGTAACAAGTTTGTACTCAATTTAATATTGTTTTGCAGCAAAGCATGGTGGAGGCTGTTCATATACCAATTTTTGCCATATCATTGACCAATGTTATATTTCTGACACCACCATATCAGAAAATATATCCAATGTATGATAGCAAGTTGATACCAGACACTGTCCCCCTAGATTTGTTCACATTGACAAGTGAGCAGAGATCTCAAGTGAGACGATTGGCTAGTGGACTTAATGCTATGTTTGATTCTATGAACCTGAAAGAAGATATCTTCTATATGGGAACATATAGCTCCTTGTTAGCTGGAGTTTTGGAGAATTCACCTGTCTGCTTGGCAAGGAGAAAGGTATTTAAAACAATTTAATAATGTGCTGTTTTGTAATTGGATAATTTGATTTATTTAATTAGGTAATTATAATGGTACTTCTATAAGAAACTACAATTTAAAATGTTCTAAATTATAATTAGGTATATATTTATGACACCTGTCTTCGTTACAGGCATGTTAAAAATGTTTTATTCTATTGTCTATTTTGAGAATATATAAATTAATTACAGTTAACATATAGATACAGTTCTGTGGTTGTAAATTCAAAATGCATATTATAAATATGTTTATTTAAAAATGTGTACTTTTAATGTATTTTTTGCTCAAATTAATGATGCCATCGGGCAGTGATTTTTGCCTTATTGATTATTTTAAATTTCATTGTCTAATAGTACAATAGACTTTGTACAACTGGTGGTACGCACCACTAGTGCGGGCCACTGGTGTTATGCACTCCCCAATATGATAATCTAGTGTAGGCCACTGGAGGCCCGCACTGGCGTGAACATGTTAATGTTAGTTTTTAATCTTATATTTTCAGAACTGTTCTAATCCTGCATCCCTTATAATAGTAGACCGCACATTAGACCTTTGTGGAGTAACTAGCCACAGCATGGAGTCGGTGCTTGATACAGTGATGGCTGTGCTGCCAAGGTTCCCTGGCCATTCTAATGAGGTAGCTGTTGATATGTCAATACTTTGCGAGGCTAATGTGTAAGTAAGAATTTAAATTATGTTGTATTTTGTTTTTAGGAGGCCTCAGTAACATTTCAAGAACAGATAATAAAAATAAAAAAGATTACTTCAAGGACTAATTTTATACAGTAATAGATAGTGGTCTATTACTGTATAAAATTAGTCCTCCTACATATTTTCAATAATATATTTTGTTATATCTGTCTGTATGTTTGCTATAATTTAAAAACCTACTGAATAGCTTTGCATCAACAGTGTCTTTCCTGAGGAAAGTTTAGTTGTATATTTCCTAAATATAGTGTAAATAAATATTTTGTGTAAAAAAATGTTTTAAGCGGAGGCGGGTCTCTCTGGTCCTTATGATGGAAAAATTGAGTTCTTAAAATAGTCATTAATTTTTCTTGCTTTTTTATTTATTTCAATCCCCTCACAAATATGGATAGCAACAAATGTAAATGCAAACATGCAGTATTTTTGATAATACAATGCATAAATTTACTATTACAATCAATTGTCGTGAGAATCTGGTGTCAGAAATATGTATAACCTGTAATACATAGCACCAGGCCACCAACCGAATATACATGTGATATAAGTTAAATAAATCATAAAGCTTATGCTACACTTACACTATAATAAGAGTTAAATGATACAGTATTCCCGTGCATGTCTGTGAGATGGCTACAACATAATAAATGCAAAGGAAAATAACACGCAACTTTTTGTTACCGTGACAGTTCAACCTAGTATTTTGATAAGTTAGAACAGAGACATGCACAATTAGGTTTTTGTTGAACTGATTGCACCAAGAATAAGTATGTTGCGGTTTCTATGTTGATTACACAATAACAGGCATGCGCCTGTTATTGTGTAATTATTTATTTTTAAAAACATTTATTCAAAAGAGCAACACACAAGTTTCTTGCTCATTGTTCTTGTGATGATTATGCTTTCCGAATGAGTGGTAGAATAAAAGAATATGACTATTCAAAAGAACTTGTATTGAGTTTATTTGCTTTCTTTCTCATCGAGAATGGAACCTTAAAATAAAAATGTTTTTTACAGTGTCAACCATCCCGACGACATGCAACTAAGTCCAGGCTGTCTGTACCATGCAAATAATGATTCATGCATGCAAACATTTGATTACATGATTAATAAGTCGCAGAAGGAAGTTATGTTCGACTTATACAACAAATTGTCTAAGATCGACATTCAAAGGTCACCAAGTCCTAAAACATTGATGAAGGTAACACCTCAGAGTGTTGAGAAGATTGTAACTGCTTCTAAAGGTGTGTACATATATTTTCTAAACTACTGTGAGTGTTTTTTATTTTATCTATTACTTATTACGAAACTATAGTTTCAAAAATGATTGAAATCAGTTAATGTTCGGCGAAATTATTGTAGACACAAAAAATAGACTATTTATTAAAAAAAAAATAAAGCCTCTAAAATAAAGTCTATTGCTATTTAAATAAAATAAATGTTAATGAGCAATTTTAAAGCCAAGGGAATCTCTTTTGAGCTTAGTGGGTTACTAGCCCAACTTAAACCGCAATGGCCCTGAGTTCGAGTCTCCGGTATTGGAAACATAAATAATAAACCAAATTAATAACGGTAAGCTTACTCCATTTGCAAAGGTACATATCCCGGTTTCCTACATTAGATTTAAATATACCCAGCGAAATTTTAGCAAGCCTTGCGGTCACCAGTTGGACGTCGACAGTTGCTAATTTGTCTGATAACCCCATTTTAAGTAACAGTCGTCAAGATCATGTCGGTCAAGTCATATATGTCATCGTCATATTATAATTTAAAGGCAATTACAACATAATCGAGAAGCATCTGGGCGTCCTCCAACAAGCAGTTGCAGTGGTGCAGACTTTGAAATCACCAAAGCGTGTGCAGATCGAGCTGCTGATGAGCCTCGAACGGCAGGTACTGCAGAACCTCGCCGCCAGTCGTGACTCCACTAGTGTGTTGCATCAGGTAATGGAAATGTGAAATTGAACTACTAAAGTAGTTCTCTGATTGCCCATTATACACTATATAAAGTATTCTATATCTATTCTCATGCACAATTATAGACAAAAATTGTAATTACTTTATTTTTACTATAATTACGCTATCATAATGTAAGAATACATATATACATTACGGAAACCTGACCAACGCTACTGTAAGCATTATTTATACGTATAATTAGTAAAAATCACGGGATCTTACCACGTTTTATATTTATTTGCTGAGTTCCCGATATTTCGGTAGTGTTTCAACCACCATGATCACGGGTAAACTGAAGAGCAGCGGGTAGATGGAAAATGAAATCTTTTTATGGGCAGACATATGCGTCTACCTTCACACGTCTTCGTTTGTTGCTACTACTGGAACTCGCTCGATATTCATCTCGGCAAACTGTACTCACAGTATCTTTACGCACATTTAATACACTTTTTGATCGCGTTTTTTGTTTTTGTTTAATTAAACCAATCACTGGATTCCAGGCAATAGAGAGCCTATAGCCGTCTTCTCGATTGAAATTTTTATATTTCTGTATTTCAATGGCCTCTCTAACCATTCTTGGGATATAATGCCGTTCTGATGTTAATACTTTTGGTTGGTGTAGTTCAATCCAGTGATTGGGTCCCGATCCCAACAAGTGTTCCGCTATGGCTGATTTACGTGGATCGTTGTTTTTAATAGCTTTTATATGTTCAGCAATGCGACGGGCTATTGTTCTTTTTGTCTGTCCGATGTATGAGCTCCCACAACTACAGTCCACCTTATAGACTCCAGGATGTTGTAGAGGAAAGTTGTCCTTAGGTGAACGTAACATTTGCTTTATGCTGGAACTCAGCAAATAAATATAAAACGTGGTAAGATCCCGTGATTTTTACTAATTATACGTATAAATAATGACCGCGTCAAGTTTAAAACAGTATGTAAGCATTATGACCTTCCCTATTAGTGATCAAATTCCGATCGTTATTGCATCTACAATGTTTCGCTTTTAAACGAGGCATCATCAGACAATAAGTAGAGTTTGCATATAGTTCGTATGCCTAGGTGACTATTCGGTGACCAGACTATATCGTAGCGTATAGTATATAGGCAAAATTTTAAGAAATTGATAAAAGTAAAGGATTTCTATTACTTTACAGATAAGTCATCTCATAAAAACCAGAAAAGAACGGAATCTTTCACTAGACAGCTTACTCGCATTGATTGTTTACGTTTACTCTCTTGTTGGTACCGAAGTGTCGTTTTCAAAGCAGCACGAAGACAGCTTGATTGAGACTCTCAGTGTAGCCATATTTGAAGACCACAAACAATTGTTTTCGAGTGAGGAGGGTGGACGTATCGCAACACCGGAAGAGTGTGACGACATATCGAATAAAATCATGAGACGCTTGAAAGATGTCTCTCAAATGAGAAAAATACTCCAAAAGTAAGTGGAACTTACACTTAAACTTTGATATATTTCTTGTAATATCTTTGTTATAAGCATACACTATTCAAAATACAGTAGCATACAATTAAATTTATCTATATTAGTATTATAAAGATGTAAAAGTTGTGTGTTTGTTTGTTCGGGGTGACCACGGGTTCTGCGGATCCGATTTTAAAAATTCTTTTATTGTTAGGAAGGTATAATGACTTTGTGTGCTATATAATATTACTACTATTTACTATCAATAGGAGCGGAGCTGCAATGAAAAATGTGGCAACAAATATTCATCTTGAGTGATTTCACTGCGTGCGTTGCGTTAATAGTTAAAGTTACGCAAAAAATATGTATGACGCTAATATGTTCTCCTTGAAAAGTTCTAAAAAGTCTCCGACAATATGTCTATCTTTTAAGGTTAATTCACAAAAACTTTTTTTCAAACAAACTTTTATAATAACTTTTTTTTTGTAATCAAAATTAATTCTAAAATAAAGCATTATTTGCGAAGGTGCTTTTATAAACATGATATTAATTCTTATCCAAATAAAAACTTTTATAGGTACAACTCTGTATTGAAGCCTTGCGAGACAGGTGTTGGACATGAGTACCGTGGTGTTCTACAACAGTTGGTGGATGATTTAGTGGATACTGAGCGACCAGAAATCACAGACCTGAGGCATAGGAATGAAGGGCTCAAAGATTTACTGCGGAGCGGGCTCAAGTAAGTTTTATTATTAACCTTCATTCAGTCATATAGGCACAGCTAGTTCAACAAGCTGTGCCCGCGACTTCGTCCCCGTGTTATCTATCTGACGAAGGTATCGGTAGTTCATTTATCATTAAAAAGAATATACTGATTTAGGGAGAAGTATAAAGAAAAATAAGCAATATATCAAGACAAATGAACATTCCAATTTTAAAAATCAATCATCGAATGATATATTTATATTTTCCAGCATTCTAACAAGTAAGAAAGCACGCAGTTCTAAACATCCACTGGACAACCCGACCGTTATACTATTCGTCATTGGCGGCATCACTGCCGAGGAATGCAAGCGGCTCCATCGCAGCATCATCACTAGTGGGGTCGATAACACTGTGCTCATCGGTTCCACGAAGCTGGTTACACCTGTTGAGGCTATGAGAGATGTGCTCCAGTTATAGCGTCGTCGGGTTAGCTAAATTTACGTTTCTAGCAAGTCTGTTATTTGTGGACGTACCCACTGTACGATTACCATATCATTCATCATTATCATTATCAGCCTACTGCAGTCCACTGCTGGACATAGGTCTCTCCCAAGGCATACCACTGGGCAGAATCATCAGCCCTTCTTGTGCAATCTTTACCCGCAACCCTACGTATGTTGTCGCTCCACCTTGCTACGGAGCGTACTATGCTACGTTTGCCAATTTAACCCTATAATTAGAAATACTAAAATCTTATATAATTATAAAAAAGTATTTTTTAACTTTTTGTCAAATGAAACGGATCACTGGATTTTAATCAATAGAAGAGAACAATTCAATATATAATTTATGCTTATTAAGTCGTCGACATTTTAGCGAATTAGGAGGTGAAATTATTATATTTAATTAAAGTGTAACTAACAAGAAATATAAAAATACAATAAACCAATCGTAAATGTACGTTAAATAAATGCTAAATGTACCTTTTACATAATTGTGTACCTACTATCATAAATAATACTAACCTATAAATAGCAGTCAGTTTAAAAAAATGTCGTGTGGTGTTGTCAACAATGAACTAGGATATGTAATGTGGAATGTCTATTGTATTTTATTATTACTTGCCTAAGACTTTCGAGTCAATGCAGTATGAATGTGTGAAACATTCATACTGCATTGACTCGAGAGTCGTCGCGCAGCATTTGTGTTTCCAAAACATGCATATTAATTTAGTAAACTAATTTTAAGAACAATATTATTGGTACAACAAATGTTACCTATATGTAGTCATACTCGATATAATGTGTAAATAATGCTTTTGTAATATATGTTAGAAAGATAAGCATATAAACGTATATTTGTCGTATTCATACATTTCACGGTATACCAACGCGTGAGTCACTAAAATATTTGTTATTTTTCAATTGACTAAAGAAGTAGATTCTATATTCGGCTGTATTCGTTTTATATGTCTCTATCAGAACGTTCTAAATTAACAGATTTTGGTGTATCTTTTTTATTTGAAAGCTAGTGCTCCTCATTTGGTCGTATATGCATTTGATTAAGGTCTAACTCAATCCTTTTTGAGTTAATTTTAATAATGCGATTGTATTCGGTTATTTTATGGCTTGAACTCGATGTTATTATGTAAAAGAACTGTATGTAATTGAGGAACACTTTTGACGTCAAAAATCTATTTAGGTCTAAGTCAAAATTATTAATATATATGTAGGCCACTTTCGGCCCTTCAAGAAATTAACTATTTATATATTCGTACAACTAAATGCTTCTTTATATAATATCAAATTTATCGTATGTATATTACTAATGTTGTCAATATTTGTGTGCTTAACGGCCAGACGAGACTATTATAAAATAGATTTTTTGTAATATTACTGTGATAATTTACTAGTATTTAAATATTAATGCATGGTATAGTAAAGTATTGTAATTTTATGTTTTAAATACGACCTTTAGAAATCCAAGTCTATATACTCTAGTACTAACTTATTACAATTTTTACTATGTAATGGTACTATAATTCCTATGAGGTAGGATCGTCAGACGCTTAATGAGCTTTCGACGTGGTGATAACCGCAATATTTGAAATATTAAGCCGGAAATGGACTTTCCGACAACATTCCAACAACATCGTCGAACAATATTGGAAATATTATTCGAAAATGTTTTTGGAATGCTCATTGTACCTCTCATTATTCCATTTGGGATTATAATATACGTGCGTAATACACAATCCTTTGTCCGTCATTTAATGACGATATAACACGTTATCTAATATTGTGATTATTATTATTATTAGTATACCATGATTAATTATAAGAATAAATGTGCAATGCAATTACAATGCAGGTAATCTAGGTGTATATAAGTGTATGTGTTTATTGTTGTTTAATCGCTAAAAGCAGGATATTTTATTCTAATTAATATGATGTCTATATTTGCATCAATAAAATGTATGTTAAAAAATTGAATTTTTTTATATGGCTCTCCTTGGCTATAACAAACAAGCACGTGTATTTCATTTCTAAGATGGAAGTGGTACCTCTGTTTATTTTCTAGTAAATTACTTGTACCAAACAGACAACTTTGTGCTGTAGATGATTTTTTTGGTAAAATTGCTACCATTCGCAGTCCAGTATTCCATACCAGTCGCAGGTCACATAGTAAATAGTCATATGTTACATCTTTGTAAAGAATTTTTACTAGGTACATTAGTATTTTATTTACATACACACGTCTTAGAAGTGGATATAAAAACATACCACGTAATTTATATCAAAGACAGGCAACCTAAATAAATAAGTAGTATTCGATCAGCTACGATAAGATAACCAGTCAAAAGTTGTAATTTTATAGGTAAGTGTAAATGAAAAACGCCCGAAGTATTTATCATTTCATTATTTATTGAGAGCAGTATATTGGCCACAGTTTCAGTAAAATATTTATGAATCACTACAAAATGTGCTTAGTTAACATTAGTGCGATTTATTCAGTTTTTTTTCTAACAGACGGCCTAACGAGTAAAGCCTATATTTATTAGAACACAACCGATTAACAGATTATAAAATAAACATATTTATGAATTTAATTTGGAATTCAACAACAATGTTATCTAATTATTTTGCTTTAATTATTCATTAAACAAGACAATAGACAATAAATAATTACATACAATCTTTTGACAAAAGGCTTATTCCTTTTAAATGTATAATAATGATGATAAAATACAAATAAACTTTATAATTACTTAATTAAATACTTACTAACTATAAATTATTGGCCGTTGGATATACTTAGTACATTTACAGACAAACAACACTAGTTACTTCCTAAGTTCAAATGTTTTCCGCTAATATTTCAAATTGTATTACCATACAGTTAAACACTACTAAATACGAAAAGCAGTTGGATTTTTTCAGCCCACTACGACATTGTGTTTTGTAAACTCGTGAATCGTGCTATTTCATTTTCTCTTTCTGTTATCTACATATACTAATATTATAAAGAGAGAAAGAGAATGGATTTGGTTATGAGTAAAATTAACTCAACCCAACACCTATTTGAGAATTTGTTTGCTGTTTTTTAGTTTCATAATATTAATGTCACTGGCTAGTGCAAAGTAGTCAAAACGAGAGATTTTAATCATAGACAACTGAGCCAGTAATATAATAATTCAATTAGATATTTAATGTAGGAGATATATTATGTCACGTAATTGCAGTCATTCTCATTTAAACATTAAGTTAAGATATTAAATCAATAACTTATGACAATATAATTATCTTATAAAATATTTCATTCAATTAAATGCTTAAAATGCACCATTTATCTTTTTTTATGAAAACAGTAATTAGTATTATTGCTCATAGCAATAATAATAATGTATTTATGTAGACATCGTCTCAATTGGCTTCATATTAATAATAATTAGGCTGCGTTTATAAGAGCTTAAAATTGGCTCTAGAATAATAAATTAGCGTGAATGTAAAATATATCAGTATCGAGAAAATTCTCAAATCTATGTACTTTTTAAGAAAAAATAAAAATATATATAAAATTAAAATCATTATTAACTTTCTGTCATATGTATCTTTTATTATATATTTATAAATATAAAATTAATATTCTATGTTTAATTTCAAGCTCACACTTATAGCTGACTAACTTTTGAACGCAGCCTAAAATATATATAAAAAAAATGTAATTAAAATACAAAGTATCATTCTACCTACTTTGAGATTCATTCATTTAAGTTTCACTTAAAGTTCCACAGTATTGTGCATAGTAAAATTGATTTTTATTCTATCTAATACTATCACATTGGATTTTTTTTATTTATTCAAAATCAATAGACTATTCATAGCCTAATTTTATTTTTATTGCCAACCACTATGAAATAAACACGCTAAAACAATATCACGATGTTTGTTAGGTAGGTTTAATCTAATAATACCTACCTATATTATAAACATACGTGAAAATACACTTTGTTTTCAAAGTACTTGTATTGTTATATAAATATGTTGGGGGGAAGGAATTGTTACTAAAGGGTTTTAGTGGCCCTTTACTAGCAATGCCCTATCAAGTCGACCTTCACGGTGTTAATTCGCCATGTTAGCTGACCTGACTTTATCTTTATCGCATTATCTTCCCCTGGTACCCCGTCAGCGTATACCGTCAGCCGGGAGTACAGAAAAAACATCCACTAAAAAAAATTATAGAAAATGTCACCAGGATTCTATAGTTTAGGAACTGCGGGTAGTTTTTTAATAATGCGTATATATTGACTTACAGTCCAAGATCCTACACTTATTATTACTTAGAAATCTAAATGGCTATAATCGTCATATGAGCACATCTAAGCACGTCTCTCTGATACGTGCTTAGCAATATGATTTTTTTTAATAACCAACTGTAAGTTACAGCATCATCTGAGTGACAACATGCATGGCATGTATACATAAATAGCACTGTTATAGGTGTTGACGTTCGGGAATGTTTTGCCATTCGTGAGGACTAAAATTACATGCCGGCGTACCAAGTAATTTCGACGCCAATGTAACGACGAATGCTAATGAAAACGCAGGTGTCTTATATAAATATCCTACGAAAATGTATATATTTTCGCCAATCCCATTAATTATTGGACAATTATCTAATTTATTATGCTTAAACCTAAAAAATATTACATCAAATCAGTTCTTTAATCCATTCCTGCAACGTCGCCGCCTTTTCTAAAGTCGGCGTTTGCGTAAATCGCTGTTCTGTTCCTGTAGAGGGCGCAAACGATTGACCCTCGGCCTCTGTAACGCACCGTACCGTGGCCTTTCTGTCGCAGCCCTGCTAATATCTCCTGAAAATAAGTTTAATAACGTAAATAAATAATAATTTTATGATCTATTGTTTGTTGTGTAGGTACACGGTAAGTTGTTAACGGTATATCTACCAGATGGCAAGTAACAGTAGTAATACAACTTTACAAAGTGACAAATTGGAAAAATTAAATTAATGTTAAAACCTTTACACAATACTCGTGTGATACGATCACGTGACCGATCAATTTAGTATGAATGGTTCGACATGCTTTCAAATATACCCTTTTTTGTGACAGTAGTTAATATCAAAAGATTTCAATACGAGTAGTTCAATATTCTATAGTTAATATTCAATATCTTGAGTTTCATAACTCACCAAGCCGAATTGTGGGTTGGTGTATTATATCTAAGCCTGTATTTTGACTATATTTAATAATCAGTTTCATGTCACTTTAATAATAATTCGCAATTGCTCAAGACATTGGACGATATCTTTATAATCGTGTCATAGTAAAAAAGTTAAATAAAATAATTACATAAATATCCAATTGCGTAAAAGTTAACTATGAACTTTAAATAAAATAACGACTAGCTTTAATCCAGTAGTCAAGTCTAGAACTCTATTACGTAATATTGAATAAGTACACAATAAAAACATTGTAGACTGTTGACTGATTACATAAATAGAACAGATTAAATCGCTACCTGATAATAAATATTGTTAGACATGTATTATGATAAAGTACACATTGTATTTTTGGTTTTTTCGATTCGTGGTTTATTTTGATAATTAATTGTTGTTTCTTAGATATATAGCACTCCTTTAATTGTAAATTAGTAATATTGTAATATTAATTTATTTGAAAAACAATATGTGAAAACATTACACAATTTTGTTTTTTTATCAATTCGGAGTCCATTCCGACCTTTAATTGTCCTTCCCATTTATTTATATATTAGCATTTAGTTGCTGACTTTTATATTGATAATGATTTCGTCTGCGTCAAAGTTTCCCCATTTATGCAACATTTCCATTGGACGTAACGTGAAGTTATAACTTATAACCTTCCTCGATAAATGGAAAGAATTTTTAAGATCAAAAATATAATAAAAGAACCGCAGATTAGCCCGAACAACCAAACTCACTCACTTTATCTCTTTATAATATTAGTTCACAATAATATAATTGCATTATTAAAACTTACCTCAGTAATACCGAATTCGTATTCGGCTACCATCGGGAATATCTGATGATGTATCCTGGCCTCATCCACTGCCTCCTTTATTGTCTGTCCAAACCACAATTTACGCATCGTAACCTGAAATGAAATGTGTGTGAATTATACCGGATGACTATTTTGGCGTTAGGAGAAAATTAGGGCATATATATATACACATTCTGGGTGTATATGTAGGTATATAATGTATTTCCAAAAAAAAATCTAAGTATTTTTGTCAGTTGTCTAATACTCATAACACAAGCTTTACTTACATTGTGACTAGATGGCGCTGTGTTAATTGTTCAGGGTTATTTATTTATTTATTTTACATTGGCACTAAACAAAGTATACGAGTACATAGTCAAACTACATTTACAATTAATACTAAGAAATTTGAAAGTTCTCTAAAATTGCAGTACAAGATTCCATTCTTCATGTTAACCAGAGGTAACTTATACAAGAGGGGTAGAATGTAAAAAAATATCGTGGGTACCTTAGTGTAACCTATTTCAGTCACTAAGCAGCTTGTTTCTGAGCTGTGATTCGGTTGTACTTGGGTGATTGCATTAAATTACATTATAAGAGGCAAGAAATCTTAGCCTATCGTAATCGTAGTAATCACTACGGAGGACTTTCGCACGCTTTCGTGATATGCATGAGTATCACGGGTCTTATATGAAAACATGGTGTTTGTAGTGATGTTCATGTATAGGTGACGATTACCGTTTACCATCAGATGGGCAGATAGTTTGTTTGTTATTCGAAAACATAAAAACACTTACCAAAGCAACTGCAGTTGTAATCTTGGTACCTCCAGACGCCCCGATCACCATTTTAGCGTTTCCATTACTATCTGTTATAATGCTAGGACTCATTGACGAGAGTGGTCTCTTGCCAGGCGCTATAAAGTTGGCGCTGGACGGCTGTAAGCCGAAGTAGTTGGTGAACCCTGGTGATGAGAAGTCGTCCATCACGTTGTTCATCACAATACCCGTGGTTGCGGTGGTAAAGCCGGCACCGTAACTGTGGATGCAAATAAGCAAGGCTCAGTAAGAAATAAAAAAGAATAGTAAAACGCTGGGTTATTTATATTATTCAAATATACATCACCGGATGGACAGGACAGGTTACATCACTCGAGAATCACTCAAGTATTGGTTTACCATTTGTTTGGTTTACCATACCTTCATATGGTTATGTTATTACTATTGTTATTGTTATTGTTATGTTTTTTTATAAAATCTTACGCTTTTGATTATATCAAAAGCGTAAGATTTTATAAAAAAAAACAATTCTAATATTTAGAAAATTAGTAAGATATTAATTATTAGATAGTATGAACTAAAGTCGCTTCCGTTGTCTGTTCGCTTAGATGTGTTTAGTACCGTTTTAGCAATATATAGAGTGATTCAAGAAGAAGGTTTATATGTATAATACATGTACATCCGTGGCGGGGCGGGTAGCTAGTATCAAATAAATCAAATCATGACAATGGTATGATACTCTTTACATGGAGGAGATCTCTCCCCATAAACACTTTTTAATTTTATGCGCACAAAATGTAATTAAGCTAAGGCTAAAGTAGTTTCTGACTTTATGTCACCATGGGAGAAAAGTCAGTCAGTCATAAAATAGAATCATGTTGGAGGTCTATTAGAAATTAATATTTACTATAATTTTAATTTCTAATAATACATATGTCTATGTCTATAAGGTCAACCTTTTGATTAGTGAAACTTAGGTATCAAAATTGATACAAAATAATATTTATTTATAATAACATCAAGATGATGCAACTTTGTATATAATTGCGTTGTTTAATTAAATAATAAACACTTATCAAAAAGGTATCAATATAACTCATTCAATATACGTAGACTAGTAAATTAATCAGTGGACTGACATGAAAGTTCATAATAATAGGTACCAATTGGTATCAACACTAGCTCTGCTTAGCTTGGGACTACATGGCAATTGTTGTGAGATATAATTATTATTATTATTCTTAATAAAACATGCTTATATGTACTATACACTGAGCTTGTGTTGTATGTACTAGGCAACTAATAAAAAACATAGATATATTTTTTGTAAATACATACTATATATAGAAAACACCCAGACCAATACACAATCATACATCTATCTATACAGTTATATACATCTATATGTATAGTATACTTACTAATAGTTAACAGAACTGGTAACAGATACAGCGTCTCCATTGGTGCCTATGATAGATATGTGGGCAGTGCCAGAGTCCGGCTGGTTGTACTGCGTAGCGCCGTAGGTCTCTGTGTCGTTGCTGGTCGCTGTATCGTTGATGCGCATCCTGATTGAACTCCCGTACTCTGAACTTGTCACGTTCTGGATCAACTGGAACGTGATCGAGATACAGCTTAGAACTCCAGCTTCTATTATGTTTATAGGTAATCCAGCTAACGGAAAGTGGTCATTGGGCGGTAGGAATAGTGATAAAAATATGAAGTTCAAACCAAGTGGTTTTTTAGTGAATAAGAATCTCACACAACTTCCAACACAGCCCTCGGCGAGGGGACTGTGTTTGTGAAAATTTTATCACATTTAAAAAAAAAGGGTTGCTAATCTTAAAACATTTAGTCCTATACGAAAAAATGTGTTATATTTGCACAATTTGTAGGCCTAAGATCTCGTACAAGTTTGTAGGAGATCTTGACCTACAGTAATCTGAGGATGAATATGTCTTCGCACCGAAGATCAAAAATTTCTTATATAAGTATTATTCTACGTTATTAGATAATATAGTATACTCGCTACCTACAATAGATTATGGGACTAAAGCCTAATTCTGAAATATATACTAGGATCTGTCTATGTTATTACATAGTATTTACCCTCCCTACCTTAAAAGATTAAGGACTAAATGAAACATTTTGGGTGGAGTTTAAGTTATGTGTAAAGCCTGTGGGTCTGTCCATGACATTTAGGTAATAATGACCACTATTCAGCAGGTAAAGGGACAGCTTTTTTACCATTGTTAAAGTTTAAAAAAACGCTACAGTACAGACAGAACCATCGAATGTCGCATATCCATAGCAATTATATTTACTCATTTAGTGTAATTGTATTTATCTGTTTATTAAATCTCTGTGTAAATTTATATCTTATCAAATTTAAATATTAAAGTCCAGTTTACCTCCTTTAAATCAAGAAAAAGAGGATCCCCCAACTTAGTTCTTGTTGCGTAGGAATATTTGAAAGCCTCTAAAATCCTGTGGTACGTGAGTATCTTGTCCTCTGTGGTGTTGATACTGTTGGATGTGAAGTTGTATCCTTGAAGTATGTTGAGTATGTTCACGAGTATGACGCCGCTACTTGGCGGGGGCGGCGCGTGGAGAGTGTCGCCGTTACCGAGCTGGACTAGCAGAGGTTCAACAATTTGTGCCCTGTAATTAATAATGTACATGTAAATGTATTTCACCAACTAAAAATATATATCGTCTACATATTACTAAATCACATGTAGAAAAAAATTTAAAACCTATCCTTCTAAGTCAAAGAGAAAGTATGCATAGAGTAGAGTACCTAGAAAATCTGAAACACGATTTCTATTAAGTAGTGACTCATTCAATGTTATGCAACGAAAATGTAATTTAAATTCTAAAAATAAATAAAAAATAATAATAAATAACCGCATATCAATAACATTGTAAATAAACAAAGTTGTTAAACCGTATCGTATATTCGTGGCCTATCTTGATCATAATATGTTGTTGAAAATACAAAATATATCTAAGAATATAGTATGAGTGATAAGATATTAAATTTATATATATTAACAAATTGATATTATGAAATAGTATATATATATCATATTTCTACGAAATGTTAAATCAACATAAATATAAAACCTAATAACAATTATACAAAACAATACAATATGTCGAAATTACCTAGTCATCAAAATAGAAACGTTTATGTCAGTTTAACAAATATTGTACATTTGATATATATTTTTAATTAATAATAAAAGATGCTGTTTGCTATTTATTACTAATAAGTTCCTCAATATTACTAGGTTTTTTAATAGGTGTGGAATGGTATGGAATAATCCTTGTGCTCTATTATAATAGCATGCTGGTTGGGCAGCACAAAATGAGATAAGAATATAATCATATCAGTTAACTCAATTCTGACGGCCTTGGCGGTATAGAGGTTTAAGTCACTGCTTTAATTCCGATGGTCACGGGTTCGATTCCTCGAACGGTACAACCGTTTCTATTCATGAGTACGAGTGTTCATATCGGTCTGTGTGTTTTCTATGTATATTATGTACGTACTTACAAAAACATGTGTTTACGTCAGTTACCTAGTACAAAAGCTCTCCTTAGCTTGGGACTAGATGGCGCTGTGTGAATTGCCCAGGGATATTATTATTACAATATTATCTTTTCAGTGTAATCAGTAACTTAAAATGACGACTTTAGCAGCAATTTAGATTGTTTTCATATGTGACCGCATGGATATCAATCTGCATTACTAATAATACAGTACTAGTATATTATAAAAAAAAACCTCCCCTCCTATATTACTAAGCAAGTAATTTACAATGAACAGTAATAAAATAATCGACGATACACATATAACCTTGTAAACCTTTTTCATTAGCCTCTTTCAGGGTTAACAAGTACTTTATTGTAGCTATACCTACTATATTTATAGCTACGTACTAATTTACGCTTCAATGATGAAGTTAAATCGAATAGTGTGTACGTGATCCACAGCAGTTATGTCGATAAATTGACGAGGCTATTTGAGTAGTCTGATAAGTCAGGTCTGAATACATATTTAGAATTTGTTTCTAGATTTCAAATTATTATTTTAGTTGTTAAAATTGTTCTAAAGTAGATTAATAAAAAAATGAATAGTTAATACTTCCAGGAATATAATATGTAAAACTCTCTATCTAGTTATTCTCATCCAGACTTTAAAAGAAAAGATTAGGTAAGGCCAAGACACTGTTTGAATTAAAAAAAAACTATTTTCTTTTCTTAAAACCAACTCTTGCCTGACGGATATGACTTTAGTCTGAGATTAATTTTGGGGGTCGGGACATCGATCCCTATTGGAATAGGACAGGGAATCAATAGAATCAAAATATCTCTATGAAATGTTAAGCATGTTTATTGCTAGAGAATAATAAGAGAATACATACGCGTCAGAATATTCGAACAACGCTGTTTGGACACATTTTCAATGTCATACTTCATTAATATAACCATTATGTCAATATTAAACTAAATTCTTTGTATTTCTCAATACACTAGTAATACACATAGGTAGCTCTGCGTAAAAACAATGTTAATGATAGATCTATTTAAATATCACATGATGACATTATCGACAATAATTTCACAATTATTGAAAAGAAGTGAGTCACTCTTATTCATGTACAATCAAAACGTTTACTCAGCTGTTTAAGATGGTGATATCATTGTATTAAAAACAAACCCTCGATGTTTTTTTACACAAATGTGTTGAATACGAAAAACTTGCATAGGGAAATCGTTATCGGCATTGTATTATAATGAAGCGTAGTTTATAGTTACAGCTACCTATGAGTTGATTAAGTCGTGGAACGTCCGCAGAATCATAATAAGTATGTTATTTGAATAATATTCACTTTATGACTTCTTTTATAGTGTGTTACCATAATTTAAAATATGTACATACCTACACGGGGGTCAGTTGTAAGTCAAAAGCTATTTAACCATGAAACTGAATAAATTCTTCAAGAAATAAGCGAATGTAAAATATTTTTTTTTAATTTTCATACAATCAAACACAACTACGTGATCAATTTGATCAAAATTTATAGTTTCTAATTACTACTACTTTGTGTCTTGAAGGTGAAAGTGGTTTATAATCATAAGTAGGTATTAAATAGGGTGGTAATAGAAGGGTAAAAACTTAGGGTTGCATGTATTTATTATGCGGCATATTTTATAAAAAAATAAAACAAAAAAAATTGTATCCAAACAGTAAAATAAATACTAGGGGTTAGGGGTACTTTTAGGTATGAAAATAGATAGTAGCTGATTCTCAGACCTACTGAATATGCATATAAAATTTCATAAAAATCGGTCAAGCCGTTTCGGAGGAGTATGCTACATTGTGACACGATAATTTTATGTATAAATGTAAGGTAAGTATGTAAAGTGATTAAATATACTTAAGTATTAAACTACACACTCACTCGTAGTTCTTCAGATCGTCAGCGGTAATGATGCTGCCAACTCTGTTCAAGTCTTCCACGAAGTCGTTCGCCAGACTTCCATTGTACAGTTCATCTCCACCTTTCTCCGCAATGCGATGTAGAGTATTGCATAGTGCTTCGCCTGGCTTCACTGTCGAGCCTGGCCGGTGGAACTGGCCTTTGGCGGTGTTGTAGTATTGTTTACTATGAAATAGATATTTTATAATTAACTCAAAGGCAAATTAGATGACGGCTCCCTTGATGGTAAGTGGTAACCGTCTCAAATATAGGATGAAGAGTATCACGGACTCATTAAAATGCGACGCCCGTGTTACCACTCATGTGTTGCCATTAAAACTAACATTCATTAAAGTTATCGAGGACAAGTCGACACAGTTGTTTTGTTAGTAAGTTGTTGAAATAAGTTTGAAGTTTAGCGGTGAACAATCCCAAAAAAGATGGCTGCATCTAAACTATTAGAGTTAATCTCCTTTAAAAGCTGGTTTTGGATGTTCTATATAAGTAACTAAGTTGGCATAGGTATTGTTATAACATATGTAAAGGAAACTACGTACTACCGGTAACAACTTTAAATAATCTAACTTCCTCATGATTTACCTCAGTTGGGGGTCATTTTTAATAAACGGAGCGCTTTCCAGGCCATCGTACATCGCTTTGGACATTACGAAGCCGGTATTACAGATGTCCAGGGTTGGAGCCAATAGACTTTCCCATGGTAGCTTGCCCCATCGCTTATACGCCGCCCACATTCCCCGCAGTTCACCAGGGACACCAACTGACAGTGGACCTGAGGATTAATATAATGTAGGATATTAAATGAGGTAATGGGGATTATTAGTAACGTAGGCAGATGACCCCATGGCTAATATTGGTACAATGTCAGTTTGAGCTCCACGCGCTTTTCCCTGGAAACCGTCGTGGTAAATTCGTGGTGAAATTTACCTTGATGGACCTGACTGACTTGACTGACTGATCTTGACTGACCTGACCTCATGTTCATCTTATCATCCTCTACTGGTGCCTCGCCCTCGTAAATCGTTAGCGCAGGCGGGTGCACAATTTTTAGTTACTAACTAGCTGTTCTCGCAACTTCATCTGCGTCGAAATTAACTTTATTTTTCTGAAATAAAAGTAGCCTATGTTACTCCTTATTACATCATTATTGAATTTGTCATAAATTAACAACGATGGTTTCGGGACACCGCATGGAAGTTCAACCTGACATAGTTAATTTCTAACACAACTAGTGTTAAAAATTAATAGGTATTAATAACTTCATTGTTGTTAGCTATGTACATATCACCATGTGTATCAGGTCAACCTTCATGCAGTGATTCCTTTATTGAACCGTGAAGATATTATAGAGAGGGCAGACTTTATTGTTAGTTTTGCAACTGAGAAACTTAATAAACATATAACTGATTTTAAAAAATCTATCAGCTATTTAAAACTACTTAGCAGTAAAAAATTATAGCATTTATATGAATACTAGATGCGTATAACATGACCGATATTTTATTTTTAATAAAGTAGAGTACTCTTTATTTTTACACCCGTGCAATGCCGGGTTGTGCCACTAGTTCTACAATAACTTGCTGTTTTAGCTTATCGAGTCTAAAAGCCTATCTACTTATCGAGTCGGAAATCTGTTTAGACAACCTTTTCAATAGATATGTTGAAATAGTATTTAAAATGCAGTGTTCTGTATGAAATGAATACCAATATCCGGTATTACATCATGTCACTGACCTTTGTAAATTTTATATCTTTGTTCAATTTAATGTAGGTATTACGAAATTGAAGTCTTGCATTTTACGTTTACCTACATGCGTGTTCAAAAACAATATAGCGTATCATTTAACACTTAATTTATATAAGAACGTTTTCACATTTTTATATAATTAAAATATTTTATTATGTAAATGGAATGGCAAAAAAGCTGACGGCCTGCCTGATGGTAAGTGGTAATCGCCTATAAACACAAACACTACTGCGGAAATCATTGATCATATTACCATGTGATACCCATGATATCTCTCACCATTTTATGAATGCTATAAATAATAACAAATATTTGTTATTATTTATAGCATTCATAAAATGGTTTTCATTTATGAATTTAAAAAATTGATTTAGTAGTAAATCTTATCTTTAAATTCATAAATGAATAATAATATAAGCTGCACTTTCCACTGAAATTTCAATAAGAGCGGTAGGGTAGGTAACCATCGGGTAACGGTAGGTACAGTAGGGTAGCGGTGGTACCTACATATATAAAACCATTAGAAATATAAATAACAGCATGATTGTTAAGTTACATTATTGTATATTAATACAATACCCGCTTCGCTTAAAAGCAATTAATACAATACATTGAAAAGTTGACAGCATTATCTTGCAGCTCGGAGCTCGCAGCTGTCTGGACCAGATTCAAGAGAAAGCTTTAGAGAAATTTTGCACGAGCGATATCTTAGTTACGATTTCGAGATTAACATTTTGGAAATCCTAAATATTTATTTAATTTTATATTCTCGTGGATCAGATAACAAATAGTACGTTATCAGTAATTAATGTTGACAAAATCTAACTTTTAGATATAGTTTTTTATATACTTTATATAAGTGCATTTTATGATGTGACATCTACTACATTTTTGTCTTGAAAGGTGGTTGTACTGGTTTACGAATTTTATAGAAAGATCGACAAATTTATAGTAGACTAGACTAATAATTGTAAACATAATATTGTTTTATAAAACAAAATTGCTTTATTGTGTTAGATTGAAATTTATTTTTGTTTGTTTCTCATAAGGGCAGAGCCAATAGATAATGTGACTATAGATATATCTAGTACTTGCACCGAGAACAAATCTTTGTAGTCTTCAAAACAAATTTTATCTAACATTGGCTGCTATAAAGAAATACAAAAATACAAAATCAAACAATGACTTTAGTATAACTCAATAGTAACAAAGTAAGCGCATAAGGTCAAATTAGCGGGAACTATACAGCTATCAATAAATTATGTCAACAGCTCGATAAAGTTGGTCTTAATATTAACGTAAATACTTTGATAAACTGAAGTTGGTCTGTTTTTTGTTTTACAGTAGGTATAGATTATAATATTCCTGCACGATACAAACATTTGTATTCATGAGTATGTTTGTTTGTATTGGTCTGGCTGTTCACAATGTATATTATGTATGTATTTAGAAAACAAAACCAATGTATTGATATTTATATAAGTTGTTAAATACTTATATCACAAGCGCTGCTAAATGGTGCTGTGTGATTTGTCCTGTTTATTACTATTATATATATATATATATACTACTATATACTATATACTAGGTATATGCATATTAAAAATAAAAATAAATGGTTTTAGAAAAACTGATATATCTATATCAAAGCAGAGTTTTAAGTACCAATATTGACTATGTTATATGTATCAGGTATGGGTATCTCGCAAGACCTTTTCACTTTTAATTCAGGTTTTCTTTTCTCATACCTATTTGTTCTGTTTTGTACACCTAGTTACCTCAGTATATACGATACGAGTCAACTAGACCGTTACTCATATCAAGAGTTTAAGTTAATAACCTTATAATTTCTGTGTATTCCTAGTTCACACATACTTATTGACTTTTAAAATATATTTATGTACGTATACATAATCGTTCCTTTACCATTCTTCTTAGATAATTATACAGTTCTCCGATAATTATAACTAATTCGAAACCCTTTTGGCAAGTTGCCTACAGTCGGTAATATTCAACGTTCTTACTCTTTTTTGTATACCTATTCAAAATAGAACATTCAACAACTATCTCTGCAGGGATGCTACCACACGTGAGAAAGTGTGTGTACACTACTTTAACATATTATATATGGCTAGCTGTTTCTTGCTACTTCACTTATAGTTTTTGATAACCATAATCAGTATGCAATCTATCTTCACGCCAAATTTTCTTAATGTAAATTCAAGTGTTTAGTTGTGAAAATATAACTGATACAAATTCGCATTTATAATAGTAGTAAGTAACTAATGATTGATGTCAAAAAAAATCTCATCAGATTTTTTTTGACTACTCTAATACTGTTTGCCGCAGCCTGCCATTATAGCTTCACCGGACAATAAGGGACGACGGCTTATGGAGCGGCTGAGGGCCAACTCCCGCCCGACGGATACGACTTTAGTCTGAGGGCAACGCAAGGGGTTTCGAACCTCGGCTCAGGCTGTCGTAATTTCGATCCCCGTTTGAATTTAGAATTTGTAATGCTATTAAAAATGAATTAGAATATACACAACATAATTATATCTACCAAGCAATTAATAAGTCGATTTTCTTAGGATTCAGCGTTAGATAATTAATGTTAAGCTATTGAAATCATTAGTAATTTCGTTTGCATTAATCCAAAACATAAAATAAAAAAATAATTCTATTACATGTCTCCTCGCCTTATTTTATTCCGTAATATCAATAGGAAACATATCTGTGTAAAAGGAACTTTCAAGTACCATCAATTTGTCAAGTAGCTATATTACATATTATTAATAACATAGAATAAATTAATAATATTAATATTACACAAACAGAATATTATAAATAATAATGTTTTGTTTATTAACTGTGTGAATATTATAAATATACTCTATATATAAGGTACTCGGTTAAGGAAACAAATTTTGATGACAATGGATCAATTAAGCGGTCTGAGTTGACACAGGTTCATGATTATTATAATACATCTCGTAGAAGTAAATACTTATTAACACAAATAAATAAGTGTATATTACTTTATTTTTAATAGTCTATACTCTTTATTTACTCTCTATTGACTTACAGTGCAATAGATAGGTACCTACTTCAGATTTATTCATATGTAATATTGTTAGTTAGAAATTAAATAGATATGAACGATTTTTCGTTAATATATATATTAATACGTGAAGCAAGAACTTTTTACCCATTTTTACGAAAATTGTGCCGACAAAGGTGTATGAAATTACGCACACTTATGCTTTAATGGCAAGGAGTGCAGTGTGCTAATATTTTTTAAAACATTACAAACATTACCATATATTTGACACACATACGCATTTTTACTCTTTGGTTTATTGTTAAAGTCTGTTGTCAAATTTAGGATAGATTAATATTGTTTTGTCTATAGTGATTACTTAAGTAATTTAACGTACATAGTGTAGTAGAAAAATGACTCTTAACTAACCGCCTACTAGTCTTATTGAAATCCAAAGTAGTTACATGTACATACAGCTTAGTTTCGTATTTTACATGTGTAGCAAATCAAATGGAAAGGTTACAGTGTTTTTATGAACTCATAATATACCGGTAATAAATTATATATTTAATACACGATAAGGAAGTAGGCCGAGCCTTAACTAGTTTCTCTAACAATACATATGCTATCTGTGGTTAAATGGTAATCTGTACAGTATTTTATTGTAGACATTTTAACAGATTAATTTTGCAAGGGTTTACCATGCGCATATGAAAAATAACTCATTTTGTATAGCCTAGCCTTATACTCTGTAATGAGAAATAGGTCAAAAGCTTCCAACTCTCTAGATAAGTAGGTAGGGTTATACGAGTTTAAATCTGCATTTCTTTATTTATACCTAACGTAAATAAAGAATTATATTATAAAATCCATACTTACACATTAATATTATAAATGCGGACTATATGATCTGTTTTTTAATGATGATAATGGAATGGTGCCGCCACCTGAGCTAACGGTATACGCTGGCGGGGCACCAGTGTAGAATGATAAGATGAACATGAGGTCAGGTCAGTTTTCTCATCGTGGCAAATCATTAAGATTTATCACGATGGATACCAGGTAGATGTCGATGCATTGTGCGTGTCGCGTGGTGTCGATCTAACATGGTACATTGCCATCAATGGGATGACTAGTTCCCACCACTAACAATCCCCTTCCACCCCAGGTGCTTGCTAGTCATATTTTCACGGACAAACGACTGAACAGATGCGAATAACATTTGGTATGAAGATAGGTTGTGTCACGAAGATGTACAAAGGCTATATTTTATCCTAAAAAATTAGACGGAATTACGGACAGCAGCTAGTACGTTTTAAATTTATTTATGATTATGTTTATTTTACAACAATACTTTTCGTTTATTTTTTTCATATCAGTACGTTTTGCGTATTTAGCGTGACGCATTAGGTATGCACTTAATTTTTATCTTTACGACAAATCCTTTACCGTGTAGACAGAGAGAAGCGAGTGTTATTGGCTTCTATTATTATACAGGATTTACTTTATTCAGTTTAGTAACTCATACATGCACGTCATTATAGAGACTTTATTATTATTGTTCTTAATATTACTATTATATTAATTATGATTAGGTACTGAACTAACTCATCTCTTGTCTTCCAGTGTTAGCCTGCCTCCTTATTTTAATGTGAGGTCAATTTGATTTCATTTCATATCGGTCTATGTGTATATTTTGTTCGGGTTGGCTGTGTGCTAACGTCTTGAAAAGGCGTAAATACAAATACGATGTACTGTTAACCTTTATTCCACTTATTTTACACTGTCTTCTTGTAACACCATTCACAAGAGCGACGCAGGAAGGGACAGCGGAACCACAGAGCATAATAGACTTTTCAGTCTGTGACACATTTCCACATACATTGCCTGTTTCATACAAAAATGGAAAGACCTACTATAATAATATAAGGCAAATAAATGTATGTTTATTTATACAAATAATAAAATAATAGTATTTATCTATAAGTTGAAATCAATTGGAGTTCATAGCTCTCAATTCCTACATCGTAACTATACAAAGAGATTACATTGTATAGATAATTAAAATTATATAGGTAGATAGGTACATCACTACATTAATACAGAAATGTTTTGTTCATAAGTTCCCATTCATGATAATGTTTGAACAATTGTTTCATACAAGACAATGTGGGCGCAATTACAATTACTGATAAAATACACAATGACGACACATCCAGAATATTCTCAATAAATACGCGTAAAATATTCCATCATGTGTTATCTTTGTGGGTCATCGTTATGGCATGCAATTATAAGTCACGTATGTATTAACCTAAATGCGTAATACAGCGGAATTAATTCAAAGTCAAAGTCAAAATTATTTATTGACATTAGATAAATTGTTGTTTTGATTCGTCCCAACTGAAGTAGCTACCCCATCCTTATTATTACTAATATTATAATGCGAAAGTAACTCTGTCTGTCTATCTCGCTTTCAAGCCAAAACTGCTGAACCGATTTAAATGAAATTTGGTGCACATATAGTGTAGAACCTGAGAAAGGACATAGGCTACTTTTTATTCCGAAAAAGAGGTTGTAAGGGGTTGAAAGGGGAGATGAAAGGTTATATGAAAGTATTGACAATTTACGCGGACCAAGTCGCGGGTACATCTAGTCATGCATAAGAGGTTAAACTGAATAAATGAATTTGATATATAATTAAACATATGACTTTAGATTTATAAATAAAACGCTCAAGATATAAATAAAACGGTTAGTAGTAAATAAAACATTCCATGTTGTAAATAAAACATAAACATACCTTTAGTAGCTTTATCGTAGCTGCCGTGGAACATGTCTTTGGTTGCAGCCTCCGGTGCTTTCTCCCTCGCGTTTACAGTGTATGCCTTCTCCTCACTCTTAATGTAAACAGTCATGAAGAATCCACCTCCAAGACCCATACTCTGTTGGTTGAGCAACCCATTGCAGAACATAGCAGCTATCGCCGCGTCAACAGCGGAACCATTTTTCAATAGGATCTCCCTGAAATGAAAAATCCTATATTAATCAAGTTGCTCATTTAAGTAAGTGCTAGGGTCTAGTTATTAAAATAGTCGAACACGCCTAACGAGGGTTTGGATTTTGTCTTTGTATGAATCATAGAAATTAGTTAGTTAATTATTAGTAGAAAGTAGTGTATCTCCGACCTCGTGATTTAATCTAATTTTGTTAAAACTTGTTTAGTCATAAACAAGAGATACATACACTATCACATTTATAATGTTAAATATGACTATTCATATTTAGTATTCTACTAGCTATACGCGCGACTGCGTCCGCGTGGAATTTAACTTTATTTTTCTAAAACAAAAGTAGTCTAAGTTACTCCTCCAAAAAAAGTCCCGTCAAAATCGATCCAGCCATTTCAGAGATTAGCCGGAACAAACAGACAAACTGACGGAGAGACAATATTTGTACAAAATGTTATTTTGGTGTATGTACCGTATCTATATTCATATGCATGTAGTAAAAAACGGTTATTTCAATATTACAAACAGACACTCCAATTTTATTTAGGTATGTATAGATTCTATATATTTTACAATATATTGGAATCCAACGTGACAGAAGACAGGCTAAACCACATATGCAGACAATATTCATATCTAATAGGTATCTCCTATAATTGATTAGGTTTCTAAAAATGTATAGCCATCTAAAGTAAATATTTATCTATCTATCCATCTAAGAAATAAAACAATACACTTTTATATTAGACTGCAATACAATAATACAAACGATTGTTAATCGTGGGAAGTAAACCACATTAATGTCAAATGCATTATGTAGATGTATACCTATACCTATTGTTTCTAAGAACATAATGGAAACCATTTTTTTAGTGGACGCTGGTCATTATATTATTGTTTTATTTTCATTATAGAGTTAATTATAGCTTGCTGGGTTCAATGACTTTTATTTTATAATACACAGTACAATATATTATATATCATATTGTACTGTGTATTATAAAATAATGGACGTTTCAATATAAATAAGATTTTTTTTATTTGTACCTAATGAAAAAAATCAAGAGATTCTTCATTCGTTAATAATTTAAGCGTGCTCATGTCGCTGGAAATCTTGTCATTTAGTTCGAGTGCGGTTGAACAGTTGATACGTCACGACTTAAACTTTTTAATTTATCTGTTTTATATAACTTCGTCTTCCCTTTCCCCTCTTTTTTTCTATTATTCGTTTCAAAAGCGTTCAGAAGGTCACCTAGCATCTAGCAGCATTTTCCCCCATCTGTTATAAAAATACTTTTAGTTTATAGAGGCTGCCTATTGATACCTCTATGTCTTGCTCATAGTGATTCTACTTTAGATATATGTTTAATGTACATATTAGTTTATGTTACTATGTTTAATTTCGGAGGGAAGAACAACAAAGATATTTAAATTAATTGAAATTTCTAAAATTCTTATGAACTAGGCGGTAGGGAAAAATATAATACAAAAATTTGACGTTCATTAACGGATAAAATGTTCCACATAAATGATAATTGATTTCATTTAACAGCTACGTTAACAGTGAGCAACAAGTCCATATCCATAAGAACTATCGTCTTTTAAAAATACCTACTCTACAATAATTGCAAATATACAAGCCGCTAGTGTTAAATTCTGTTAATGTCTAGTTTACGGGTATCCATACTAATATTACAAATGCTGCTAGTAATGTTGTAAAGATTATCCTAAAGACGGATATAGCGAAATTATGAAATAGGTCTTACACATATTTCCATGAATTCTGGAAGGGTGTTGGTTTACGTTTTGTCTCATGCTCCACTGTCCAAGATATGTTCACGTAAAAAATGATAAAGGTATTAATTTTGTCATACAAAGTATTATTTATCAACTAATCTATATCATAAATAGATAGAAGAATTGTCTCTAGAGTCTAGACATTTGAATTAAAAAATATATAACTCTATATTACTTAAATACAATGCTTGCAAAATCGTTTTAAATTCATATATATCATAAACAATTTTATCATATAGCTGTTATTAGTATTACGTATCTAAATGCTGTAATTTGTGAATATTAGGTTAAAATATATCTATAAATAATGCTATGGAATAGTGCCAATTTTGTTCGGGAAGTATGTAAACTAGAACATTTTAGTTTACTGGTAGTCGAGACGAGCATTTTGTTTGTTATCATTGAATTGGAGCAGACAACCCAAACAATTGTTTTTTTGTTATTGTATGAATGCTGATCCTAGTAAAAGAACACTAGTAAAAGATGATTCGATGAGAATAAAGTCAGGTCACTATTGTGACTATTTTTCTGTTATTTTAAATAATATGAAATAATAATAATTGTATTGAATCTTTTTATTTCGTATTCTCACAAACAAATAAATAACAATACGGGATACAGGAATTTGACGTTCGGAAATATATCAAAATAGATGCGTTCAGAAATTACGATTCATAACAAACCCACCGTGGCGAATTCACCAAAAATTATAATAATAATAATAGTAAAGGTATTTATTACTCACGATAATTTCCAATAAGGAAAGCTTAGTTTGGTTTGGTTAGTAGTAACGTGGACACTTACTAACAATCTACTATGACCATGTCGTATTTATTGAAATGTAAACTGTTTAGAATGTTTCCAAAACTAAACAGATCTTGAGTATATTTTACTTCCTTCCCTTACTACGTACTATCTTATTATGTAGGTCATGTATTTTAGATAGAACACTTGAAATCTAGACACTGTGGAAATTTTATATGCAGTGATGTAACATTGTATTGATAGGCACTTATGTTTAAATATTAACAATTCTATTTAAATTCTGTCCTTCTGGTTAATGTCATATTAGGTATAAGAAGTGAGGAAATATTGACACTTTATGCACGCTTCACTTAATGTGATGTAAAAACAACAAAACATTTTTATTTTGTGCTCCATAAAATATCCTCCATAATAATTATTCCACCAGTCTTGAATGCTTTTTTATATTATTTCATGGTTTTTATTGCCTAGACTATCTACTTTTTTTTACCAAGATTACTAGATAGCCTGTGATTATGTTACGGTTTACATCGAGGTCAAGTAGTTGGTTTTTGATTTCCGAAACCTAAGCCATAAAGCAAGTAATCACTACTATACATTGTTAACCTACGCTAAAGAAATTTGGCGCGAACGTGCTGCGCGCGCATCCGCAAATTTTTACTTTGTTTTTCGGGCAGAAGGCAACGAACGATCGCGTAAAGTTTTTATATCTTTTTTATTTTATTTCTCGCATGAATCGTTTGCAAATGTTCCTTGATACCGTTTGATGTAAATTGTAAATAGACAATATCAATTATTTAGTAAAGGTAGTCTTTGTAACTACTATAGAGTATGAATATTTACATACATACATGAGATGAGATGTAAATTTATAGTAATATGTTATTGACATCCAATGTTCTATTCTAGAAAATGCTTTTTTAAAATGTTGATCCAAATTTGCCCCTCTGCTTGTGATCAGAGAATTGCCCGATTTCTTGCGCAACTGACTGTCATATAGCTATCCAGTGTGGAAACGCGGCCAGCGTTCTTGGCTCCACTCCCATTCGACAAGACCTGATTGACCTTTGTAACAGGCTGGATAACATTGTATATGGTAAACACTACAGTGATTGCCCAGTATATAGATATTGCCCACAGTAAGAAGATGATACATTTAAACCTATTTATAAAGGAGTTAATTCGAATTAAATTCGCTGGATGGCATTAAGAGATCCTCTAGTAGAACGTTTAATAATAAATTGGCAAAATTTAAAGAAAAACATGGTGTTATGGCATATTTGTTGACAACAGGTATGCCTCTTATCGGAAAAAGTAGGTTTCTTAAAGAATTTCTTAAGGATACACTTTTTGTTTTAATTTCTTGTGTTAACTTAGCTCCATTTTAAACTTATTGCTATAGAGAATAAGTTAGTAAATGCTTTATAGTGTAATTTCAAGAAGTTATTGTGATGTAAAATTTACCTCTTAAGGAGTTAGATGGGGTGGGCAATTACTAAATCTTATTTAGATGAATTTTAGTGATTGCCATATCGGTATTTAGTTATTGCCATTGGCATTGGGTACAGCTATTGCCCGGGCAATTTCTATTAAAGTAAGTTTATTTTTGTTAAATACATTTACGTAACAGTATTATCTAGTTCTTTATAGAATGTCTAAGGTTACCAAGTTAAAATACAAACGGGAAGACCTAAAGAAGGCAATCACCGAAATCCAAAATAACAAAGACAGGTTTTCAGATCGACAAATTCCATATTTTAACATAATTCAGGACACAAAATCAGCTTGGGTTCAGTGCCAATTTTAACTGCTATAGAAGAAGCTACTCTTGACGACAGCATAACAACTTCAGCACGAAAAGGTTTTCCACGGCATAAAGAAACTATTTTGGACAGTGTTCAAAAAATTCTAGAGGAAAATCCAAGACCTAATCCATTCGTGAATAATAGGCCTGACATTGGATAGTGGAAAGTATTTTTAAAGAGACATCCTAAATTAAGTATACGAAGTTTTGAAGGTGTTCGAACAAAATCAAGCTCATTGTATCTGAAAAAGATTCAGTTCCATGAAATATGTTGCTATGTCGATGAAAAAGTAATAAGCCAAGTCTTCAATACAGATGAGACAAATTTTCATATTTGCCAGTATGCAGGACTAGTTGTAGCTGAAAACAGTTCTAGAAACGTTTATAATATTGAACATTCAAATGGAAAATAATCAATAATAATTTTATTTACTTTCTCGGCTGCTGGTATTATTTGTAGTCTATTTGTTCCCCAAATCTTTTATTAGTGTAGTAAGTCTACAAATACAAAAAGATTTAGATATTCTTTTGTTTTTGTGTCATTTTTACTATAAAGTAGATGATTCTTATTCTGCTAAAGACACTGATTTTGATTGTTTAGAAATGTATACTAACGTACAAAAAGCTATAAAAGATCTCAAATATTAAATAAGGTCTTTAAAACTTGAGACATTGTTTTGCTTAAACGATTAATGTTTGTCAACATTCCTAAACAATAAGAATTAATATTTATATGGTATATTTTTAACTAGATTTAGTAACTATAGCAGTTAATGCTATGTGGGCAATAACTATGTGATGCGTGAGGCAATGACTATCTGGTCCGGGCAATCACTATACTTTTAGAGGTTATTTTTGTTAAACCTTGTAATTATTAGTTTTCTCAATATATTTAAATTGTTACTACTGGATCTTTTAGCTAAACTATTAATGTTACCAAAGAGGTGACACTCACATACCTATTATTTTAATAAACATTTATATACATATAAAACCAGTAGAATTTTCTTAAATGGGCAATCACTATACTGTTTACCCTATTTTCTTAATAATAAACTTTTAATTCCAGGTAAAAAGATGTTTACATACTTTTTTAATACAATGGTAAGTAAGCAATGTTATGTAAATAATCATGTACCGTAGCTTATAGACAACTAAGGCACTAGTTATATGCTCATTTCCGACGCTTAAGAAACCTTAAAATAATATTTGTGAGAATAATAATACGTATTATATAGTCTAATTTTTGTTTGATTTTGACACGCTAACGATCTACCCAGTGTAAGTGGAAACCTTCATCTAAATACATGAACACGGAACATCACAGTACTGAGACAAACCTCACGCATTGCCAATTCTGATTAACTAAAAGTCATGTTTTGTACCCTGTTAGTAACCTCACTACCTACCTTACCTGATCCTTTAACCAAATAATCGCATCTTAGCACAACAAACAATGTTGAAAAAGGTGAGGTCTCCATGTACCCATGACTATGTTTATAGTCTACCTCAGTACCACTAAAACCATTCGGTCCTTGACCTGTTCTCGTGCTGATGAGCAAAAACTACTATCAAACAGAACCGTTATTATTCAGACGCTGGAACTCATTTCGAGATGAACGCAGGTGATATCCATAATTAGTTGTTGCTCATATTTACAAATTTGAACTCTACTGTATTGTTGTAAGACGTATAATTTCGTAACTGATAATTCTACTAGCAGGTTACTGATAGTATCCATGTATGCCGGTGCATCCGTTTAGAAATAGTGTTGTAAATAGTCTGATGCGATAAATAGAATATTCAAAATGTATGCAGAATATCGAAGTTGTCATACAAGTTTATATAGTTATTTTTGTATGGATGGTAATGGAATGGCCTACCTGCGCTGATGATTTTCGCTGGCGGGGCACCAGTGGAGGATGATAAAATGAACATGAAGTCAGGTCGGTTAACTCATCTTGGCAAATGGCAAATAACAATGGTTTCTTGAGGAAACCGCGTGGAAGTCAACCCGACATTGCTTAGCAATCTAAGCAATGAGGCTATTAGTGCCCATTACTAACAATCCTCTTCCACCCATTTATTATTTCCACCAGTCTATTGTATGAGAGATTTTGTAAATAGATACAATCCCTCTCCATGACCCCACCAATTCTATAAATTTTCTAAAAAACGAAAAGGCTATAGATTTTTCTTCTTGACAAAAATGTATTGAGATTTCCAGCATGATCCAAAGTACTTATGACTCTTAAATGAACCGTGAATATGATAATAATTATGCTTATTTTTCCCCATTTTAATCATGTAACACAACCTTATGCAGTTTATTGAAGTTGTAACATTAATCCGGAGTTTTAATTCACTACGTCCAGCTTCAATCGATATTTGTTAAAATAATTCGTCGAATCGAACTGGCCAGAATAATAAAATTGTAAGTTTGTTATATGTAATAGAATTACACACAAGATAAAGAAAATAAATATCAACAGTTACCTAAATACTAATGTAGAGACAAATTGAATATCTATCAGTCTATACCTGATAAATTATCACTAACTTTTCCACAGATTTATTATTGATGGAAGTTTTTAGTTATTTTTATTATGTAAGTGTATGGAACTGAACTGAAATAATGACAGATACAATTTTTGCGGTTCTGAAATAATGTCCAGCTATTTGGATTTAAGGCCAAAGGATATTTTATTAGCTCTTGATTTGGTTACGTATGTATATTGATAAGTATATATTATACATGTATAAGAAAAGGTACACAGGAACAAAAAAAAGAGCATACAAAATATGGCTGCCACGCACAATGTACGATAAGTCATGAAGTTGAAGAAAAAATATAAATAAAGCATATTGTTGTGTTCTTATTAGTATTCTTCGTCAATATACACTTATTGTAACACTCGGTTCAAGTAGGCGAGGCGTACGGCAGATGTAATGCATATATTGTACCGACTAATGTGGAAATTTTAAAACCTTAACCACCTAAGGTGTCAGTTAAGAATCGTTAGTAAGGTATTTTGTTATGAGTGCACAATGAGTAACAGTAGCATGCTATAACCATAATTCTGCCGTTTTTCTACGACGCAAATTATGAAGTAAGCAATGTATACGGTGCAAAATGATAATAGAATTAACAAGGCTAGCCACCTCGCTAGCGCTTCAAGGTTATTTTTGTGTATAAACAACATGTCAGACACGTAGGTGTATAGGTACTATTTACTGCGGCCTGGAGCCAAAATAATGAATATTTCAGTTAAATTCAATAAAACAAAAAAGTTAGTTTAATTAATTAATATTTATTGCCTTAAATTATTATTACAGTCCTTTGTGTACCCCGTGAAAGATACAGAATTAATGTAAAATAATCTAACTAGGAATTAATAACACAGCAAAATTTGGGCTTTACAACAAGCCCAGTTTGAGATGAGATCAGTTACATGGAACGATGTTAAGTCCAAAATAGAATCACTGGTGTGCACTTATAGTTCAGCAGTCACTTCCCGGTTCAACTCTGAGTGGCCTCGGTTTTGCTTCCTATATCATGTATGCGCATGGAATTTCTGCATCTGCAGGAACCGCATTGGATGTTCCATTGATCTCTTTTGAGAAGCAGTGGCCCAATTATGTCGGGCGTCTGCCACAACGACCTCCTTTCGCTCGGTAAATCATATGTCCATACACAAGCCTTTATCGTCATTATTTAACACACTTAAGTATCTAATTCTTGTTGTTCGCTTTCTTATTATTCTGTGTGTTCACCATTTTGGTAACGATCTTTCTCGAATGGCCGGACGGATCGAAGTGGTTTGTGTGCTCGCTTACCTCCTTCTTCGTACGTTGTTTGCCACTGTGTCCAGAGAAGATGTGCTTATCATGGTCGAAATTGTAGTAGTCGTACTCATCGAAGAAAGCCTCGGACATGGTTACGATGAATTTAGATTTTTATTTAATAAAACACAAGAATTTGTCCCAGTGACAACGTTACTGACGGTACGGTTTTGTGATTTGTTCGGCGCGACGTTGGCAGCGCGTTTATATAGGCAGCCCGAGACACGTCACTGACCGCATGCGCGTCGATAATATTCTCGCAACGCGATTGGAGGTGGGCACGTCTATGGTGCGGGTGTTTGTTTATTTACAGAATTCGTAGTGTGCGAAGCCGGTTGGTAACGCCAGATTAAAATTAAAAAATACCTAATTATGTATTTTTAGATAAATCCACCATTTTCGACAAATAATGGCCGAAATGATCACATAACAAACACTAAAAAAATAAAACATTCGCATATAGGTAATAACCTCAATTTTTGGATTTAATTTAAAGATTCGGAGATTTAAATACATTTTTAAATATTCGCATTAAAAAAAAAAAAAATACACTTTAATAAAAAGAAAACCAATAATATTTTAATATATCACAGATTTTCAGTTTCTTATTTTTCTGATAAAATAAGTAGGTACATTCATACTCTTTCAATTTGATATGTGTAAATAAATGATATATTTTTATATTCACATGGAAAAACACGCTAATAAAAGATGATTTTTAATGTCTATGTTCCACAGTTTAAGAGCAGTGAGGTAGTATATGTATTTAATTTATCTGTGCTACAGGTAGATATAGTAAAATATTAGTTTACTTCTCTTTACAAAATCTTTTTGCATATTATTAACGTTATTATAGGTAAAAGTCAACGGTGTGGCAACATTATTTATCAATGTGTGCATCGAAGAGTGCATGTATTGATCGCGCTGCATTAGGTATTCCTATGCAATGCTCAATTCATAAACTATAGACATCGAAGCCACTATTTTCTAATTGCTACGAGATTTTTAAACCAATATGAATGTTTTCGAATATTCAAAATTCGAACATACAAATTAATCAATGTTAATTTATGGGCATGAAGTTTTGTTTAATTATAAAAATATTGTTGTTACAGCTGCCATCTTGTGTTAACTTATTAAAGTAACAAGTATACTTTATATTACTTTATTTTGCTGATCATAACATCATTCGATTGGCGCCGTACACTCATTTATATTATCATAATGTATTTGTGTCAGCGTATAACTGATTATCTGAATATTTAATGACATCATGTTTTTTTATTAATAACACTTCATGTTTCTGGAAATCCAAAGTAGAAATTATATAAACATCAAAGTATTAATTAATGTCGTCGAACTTAGAGTATATCCTGTAGCTAGAATATATGTATACTTGTTTTAATTTTTTTGTCATAATGACATTTTATTTCAATATGCCAGGTATTTTTAATACAAAGAAAGTAGTAAATATAGGTAGACTAGTGAATCATCACTATGTAACTTGCGATACCTTTTAAGGCACCACCTTAGAAATTTTAATCTCAAAGTAATTTATATTAATTCGCTCATTGCCTTAAGAGACCATGACAAAATATGAATAATCATTTATTAATACCTAATCATTTTTGTTTTTTATTGTCATTATCATTATACAATAATAATCAATCCAATAACCTATGATAGACAATAGTTGGACATAAGAGAGAGATTCAGGCTATCATTTCTATACTAGTTGGTGGCTTAGCTTTTGGCGTTACCTTTTTTATCGAGTTTTTCTTCGCTTGCGGCAATATATACTTTTTATGTTATACTGGAGATCTAATGTAGTAATTACATAATTGAAATGTTACTTCTTAACAATCGCAGACCTTTTTTACGTATGATTAAAATATTGCTACGACAGTTTTTATAGGCGCATATTATAATAAACATTTAAATTTCGTAGTTTATGACCCAGTGATCTAACTATACATAGAAGTGTCTTTTGGAAAATAAGTGAACTACGAACTAATGAAATTAAAAAATGGCATCTTTTTAACATTTAGGACTATATTTAAATATGAAAAATTAAACAATAAATATATTGTCTAATTTTTCATATTTAAATATAGTTTATTAATTTTCTATATCAGAATCAAATGATTACTTATGTGTAAAGTCCTGAATGTTAAAAAGATGCCATTTTTTAAGTATGAACGGTACCTACGACTTTACTCACTATTCATAAAATGTAATGAAAAAACCTTGTAACAATGTACATGGATTGCAGATATTATAATTTTGTATTATGAGTATTAAATTACATCATCATCATCAACAGTATGTTTTAGTTTTTAAGGTCTATAGTAAATATTATTGTGGATAAGACATTACTGATGTAATGCCAAAAAAATGTCAGTATTATTATTGAATTACTATTAGTTATGTTATCTGTGGTATTAGTAATTTTGTACTCTTTAGTATATAATTATTGTAATTATACTTGCCTTCCTATTTGTGAACATTGAGGCGCATCTGTGCACACGGCAGCTTTTTGGAAGATATGCAGTCTGGAGGGCGAAGGCAGTAATGGCTCCACTGGATCAGGTGGTTCTAAAGCTTTTCTAGCTTTGTAATCACCACTGCCGATGATGTAGCCACTGAGAGCTGACATAAATACCAGAACCACCAGCCCTGCGATGACGAGTTTCGTCCTGCGTTTGTATGGCCTGTGAAAGAAATTAAATTATTTTAACCGTCTTTTAATATAAGTATAAAAAATAATTATTGCAGAATTTTTGAAAAAGAACCCGAAGACTGCTCTATATTTGGAGATCCGTAGATGGTCATCTGCAGATAGCCAAGACATTGAAGATCTCAGAGCCCTAACCTCTGTTCTCCAAGAAGATTTAATAGTAAGTCTAGTAGCTTTAAATATTAAAAAAATATAGTTTATACATTTAATAAATTAAGGATGTATAATCACATATATAATAATTTAATAAATATTATTATTTAATTGGCACATAAATAACTGACTGTCTTTACATAGGTAAGATATAATTGCTTCATTGCGTTATGCAGTAAAAAACATTTATGAATTTCCTTCGATAATTTTAATTTAAAATTTGATTTAGTATTCATTATTAAATTCCATTAATTTCTTTGTTAACTATATACATACTACATGATTTTCCTAAACTATTACTGTAATGGTGTTTCCTTTCATACGGTACGATCAGTATGGACTATTTTAATAAAGATAGACTCTTGTGAAGCTGTTTAAATTAAAGATGTAAATTGTAACAGGAAGATAATTTTAATCACAGAATAATTACGAACAAATCCAACAACTCACTTCTCCGGATAGTCATCGTCATCAGTACTGAAGTTCCCTTGGAATATAGCGAATCTATTAATAGGGGACACTAATCGTATTGTGTCCATAGGGATATCATTCATATGTGTACTTATAAAGTGTCTTCGATGTAACCCGGATGAACGTTCCATGGTTTATTTACAAATATTCTCACACAGAAACGTCTAAAGTTCAATTGGAATCAGTTTACAGACACATGACAACATATTTTCGAGTTGGACTTATAATAAATCCAGGATTCCAGAAATGGGACACATAATAATCGGTTGTGCTAATTCTCATGGCCTGGTTATATCACGTACTGACACAACTGGAAATAAAAACTGTCACTCACAGGTGATATGCAGTGAACTTGTTTGCGGATATTCCTAAAATCGATAATTTGTGTGAAGGCTTCACGATGTTGCCGGCTGGTTTCGTGTCAGACTTTATTGGTTTGCTAATTACTTATGTTGCCAATAGATGGCGCTATGCCAGTTGCATTATAGCGCCATCTTTATTCTACAAGAAAATATATTTTACTTCCGACAACAAAAACATTTTATGCTCTGAAATATGTAATCTCTGTTACAGGAAAATAAAACGTACGGGAGTTTATAAGACAAGTGATCCTTTCATAAACTGCTTTTATATCTTAGGATTACATGTCAAAATGAAGTGATAGATAATGTTAGTTACCTCCTTAGAATACTTTACGGGTTGAATTAGTTCAATCTATAATCTACAAACTGAAAGAAACAAGTTTGAAATATATGAAAACAACCTGTCTGAAAATGCTTTATTTAAGCATGCTGAAGAATTTGCAAAACTACCCACTAATCATACTAAGAACAACATTAGGTTATGGGTATTCTAGTTTGATATAGAGTGTTTTTTTTTATTTACGACAACAAAAGTAAAAATTAATATGTGTTCTGCATATATAATAATCAAAGTCAATAAAAGATGGGATAAAAAAAACTCGTTCAAATGATTTTAGTATTTAAATGTAATTATGGCCCATCGACTTGTAGTATATATTGAACATTGATTTATAAGTATCTAATATAAAACCCGTTTTGATGTTTTAAGACTGTATAATGTATATGTGGACTATTATCAAAGATATGACTTTGGTATCTACTTCTTAATTACACTAATAAAATTTAGTAAATAGTATTTGTTAGTCATATCCATATTAAAACTAGATATTTATAAGGACGGAGGGGAGGATATTGACCTGTTATTAGTTATTTTATTACTCATTTGTATCATGTATTAAGTTTCTAATTATATCACGATCTGTGTTTGTTAGACTAAGTTTATTATAATATGATTTGTAAATAACACCAACTGTTTTGAGGTTACTTAATAGATCTTAGAGTATTTTACACACGATGTATATCCGCTAAAAATACAGTCTTGAGGTTATACCAGTATATAATAAATTGCGTTACGATAATTAAAAGACGCACATGATAAATAAATTTGTCCGTGAATATAAAGCTATTCTTTTTACAAACGCTAAAACGGAATTTAACTAAGGCAAACTATAGCTCAAATTTTTTTCTGTGTAAGAGGAATGACCAAACTTTTAGCACACCTAGTGTTGAGTGAAAACGGTCACCTAAATGCATCATTATGCATTGGTAAAACCACGGAAATCACGTCATCGTGTGACATGTACTACCTCTCTTTTATTACTGTTTAGAAGGACGGTATGCTTATAATAAGCAGTATGTATACTTTATTTTAAGCCATATCTTACTCTCCAAAAGAAATATGCTGTTAAAGAAGCTGATCTGCGGCTGACTGAAATGTGTGAGACACCTTGACGATTTTGTACAAAGTATACTTCTGGTTTTTTGTCTTAACACCATATCCTTGGGTAAGGGAACAAACTGGAGGTGCCATTTTAGAGATTTATAGCGTCATAAGATATGAGACTGGTGTCATATGATTTTAAGTGAACTATCAGATTCTTTGTACTTGGCAATGTACAAAATAATAAAAATCAAATTATTAATAACAAAAAAGAAATACTTAGGCAATCGACGTGATGTGATTATGACGTATCAGTATTAGTTTGATATTAATTTGACTGCTACACATTGTGCAATTAAAACGAGCGATGTATATCATAATTTTGATAAGGTGCTGTAATGGTTACAAACAGAATTACACTTTCGAATTAGTCATAATATCGTGCGACAAACTTTGCAATATATGTGGTGTAATTTGTTTTTGATCATCTTTAATATTTTAAAAGAAAATATAGCTGGTGTTACTAGCAAATAAGTTTTGCATAGATATTTTTAAGATTGATGAAGTATTATATATATATTCTTATGAATATGTTAATAATTCTACAATACATAAATAACAAGATCATGTACATGGACATAAAATTAAACACAGTGAAACAGGAAATAGAATACTACAGGAGATGTTACCAGTCTAGATTAAATAGATATACACGTAGAAATGTCTGGCCGCATAACTGCAGGGAGCGGGAAATCTAAGATTCCCTCGACTTAAAAGATGTGATGTCTAGGCCTAGCGGAAAGATCTGCAGACAATTTCTGAGAAATGATTAATTGGACCAACCTTATCACCTGAAATAGACCAATTAACTTAAGAAAAAAACAGCTTGAACCATTTCTTTAAATAAAAGGGTTAACCGTTTTATTTTTTAGGTTTCTTGCCATCTGACATGTTGTATTCATATAGGTATATTTATTACCTAGTGAAATGTGGGCATTTTTGGTTGTACTGAGGTAGCAAAACTAATTTTATTTGCTATATTAACTGAATAGCAAGCTGTTTCTGTTGATCATCACTCATCTACCGAAACAGCTTGCTATTCGGCTGTGAAATTACATAGTAGGGAGACATTCCATATTGCTATTGTATGCAACACTTGAGGGATACCACAGGCATTACGAGATGTCGCTTGATGTCCGTTTTTTTTTCTAATGCTGTTGGTCGTAGCTAGCTTTTACAGCTTCACCGAGCGATAGAGACATCCAAACTCACGGAAGAACTTTATAAGCAGCTGAAGGCGAACTCCCGTTTGAGAGATATGACTTTAATCTGAGGGCACCGCTAGGGGTTCGCAATATCCGTGTTCCTCATGTCTATAGGCGACAGTTTTTACCATTAAATGGGTCGTAAGCTTGTTTCCCATTACAGTTACATAAAAAAATTTAAGACTTGAATATAATCCAAAACAATCATATTTTTTGTGTTTAAGATTACAATAATTACACACCTGTCTCTATCATTATGTGGTATGGAGATAGACACATGTCTGTTCCTCTTCCTCACTTGTCCAGGCTTACTTGGTTTCTTCAGGGAACTCTCCCTTAACAATTGTCTGTCACACATATTTGCACACTTGTTTTATGAGACACTGAATTATTGCTGAGTTATTGCGTAGATTAAGCACGACTTGAGGTCACGCCGAGGACTGCTCAGATGGATATTAGGAAATGTAATTGGTATTATATAGTACCTACTTGCAAACGTGTTGTTACTCTAGCTGACCTTGTGTGACATAATACATAAGTGCTGTTACTGATTATTTCGTCGCTAAGGAGGTCGTCAGATCATAATATATGTAACATATTATTACTTACGAATAATAATATTAGAAATGCAGAGTAAGGATGGATGTTTATTACTCCTTCACATAGTAATAACTTATTTGAATAAAATCTTATTAATATTATAAATGCGAAATTGTTTGTTTTTGTGAGCTTGGATGGTTGGACGTTTGTTACTCTTTTACGCAAAAACTATTCAACGGAATTTGATGAAACTTTGCCATAATGTAGCTTATACATCGGAATAACTCATAGGCTATGATTTAAAAATATAATATGCAAATTGTAATGACAAATGTCAAGTAAGTGAGATGTAGACGAAGTTGCATTATTACAAATATAAGGCAAGGAATGGATAGATGTTTATTACACTTTCACGCAAAAACTACGGGACTTATACGAATAAAATTTACTGTAATCTCCTCAGTTTTAAACATATATAATTTACTACCTGCTACTTGAGAATACATCAGATTTTTTTGAGATAAAAGGGATAGGCTATGTTATACGATCCGGTTAGTCCTTATCTCATGAAAATGTAATAAGTTTACAGATAGACAGATACACTTTCGAATCTATAATATTAGCATAAAAGTAGTAAAATTTCCACGTATTGAATATGCTTGTACTGTAAGTATGGTATATTTTATGTGCGCTCTAGTGTAACAATAACGTACGTACGAACATGTAATAAACTTAGTACTATGTCGCATTCATATTTTAGGCTTTATTTATTATTTTTCCTTGCAATTGGTTATAAAAATCT